AGAAGAAAAAATTAAAGATATCCTCCTCTTCACACACATTTGTAAAGTTCCCTAGATTTTACTCCCTCACTTACTTATTTGTGCTTTCTAGACCCCAAAGCAGTTTTCCTTCTGCAGGCCATAAAGGATGGAGAAGATCTACAGCCCACCCCAATCACATCACTTGACACACAACCCACATGTCCTGCAATGCTGTTGTCATCCAGGGGACACCAAAAACTTTCTTGCCATCAAGAACCGGAGGGGTGGGGAAAGGGAGGGGGCAAATTGTAAGGACATTTTCCCCTCTTTTTGACACTACCTGAGACAATAAGGACTCAGAAGCTATGAACTATAAACCAGGAGTACAAAGTGCTCCAACAGATGGCTTCAAAATAACTGGATCCCAAATTATTAGTATGGGAAACACATTAGGACGATTAGAAATCTAGACTAGGTTCCTAAAATGTGTTCGAGAGTCCCACAAAAAGAGGTGATCAAATGTCTCTTCATTTTTGTGTAATTATTTGTGTATATATTAGTATATATTGTCTGTATGTTTGTTGTATGGTGAACACCCATATGTGTATCTTTGGTTTCTGCCTGAGAGCATCCAGTTAACCTTGAAACTTAAGGGGACACTGACTTGTACCCAATTATTCTTGCATACATATGAGGGTGGGATTGAGTTCCACATCCTCTTCATCCCTTCCAAAGGTTTAAACAGGTTCCTTAGTAATTTTATTATTTATTTGTTTTCTCCTGTCACTACACTTGTTATTCTAGTGTGTATGTTCTCTTTTACCCAGAATAAGCTTCGGGAACACTGCAAAACAGATCAACAGGTATGTATGCTGTGATTGAGCAGGAAATTATGCATGCACATATGTAAGTCTGTATTTGCCCTATATAGTAAAAATAACTAATTTGGACAGTGGCCCATAGTATGGTGTTTCAACACTTTGAAACCCATGGGGTCACATAAAATTTCAATTGGATCTCCCCTGTAAATTGGACAATGTTCCCAAGGTGCAACTTAGCCTTTTGCATTCTTTTTGGAGAGCGAGCTAACAACCCACCCTTAAGTGTAAGACCAGAGCCAAGATAATACAAATACAAATAAAATTGCATAGAAAGGCCCAGGTGAAGGCATCTCTCATGACATGTCAACACCTGTGTCAGTTGGAAAAATGCTTATGGTCAATATACTCCTTCCTGCTGAGTGTAAAGCATAAACCTTCAGATTAAGAAATGGAAAAGAAAGATGCCATTAACAACTGATAAATAAAACTACAGTTTTGAAAGAGGGAGCTCATCTATTCCTCCCAGCTAATTTCTATATAATGCCATTGTGTAATGTTAGCTCATGTGCAACAACAAATAGTCTCAGAAGCCTGCAGTTTGAGGCCCTCTTCGTGCTCACATGCACACACCAGGACATCACCTCACATGCATAAAGTTACAGCACTTAGGGGAGTATGATGTCACCGAATGGGACATCTAAAAGTTTATTAGTGGTGGGGGCACTGGTTATCCTGTGAAGAACCATGCTCCCAAAGGAGGATTGTTACCAGGGGAATGGCCATTGTGTGTGCTCCCCTCCCCCCAAATTCTAAGGTGTCAGATCATAGGATAAATGTTCAAAATGAACAGGATGGGTACACAGGCACAAACCACATTCTGAAATGGTATAGGTGAGCAATCCTGAAGCCATTTTGACTCTCCCCCAATGACCTCAAATGTTTCTCTTATTAGGAGGAAGTATAGGAGGGGGTACCTTTTACTAAGGTAGTAGGGATGGGGCAGGAGAGTGCTAGAGTTTTGTTTAGTCCAGTTGTATGGGCTCAATTCCAATCTGTTACCTCAGAGAATGCGTCGGCTAACTAAGGCCCATGGGCCAGATCAGGCCCAATTGCCTTCTAGATCTGGCCTGCGGATGGTCCGAGAATCCAGGCAGCCAGCATAGTGTGCACGTGTGATGGTTTTTGTGACTCAGCCAGGCTTGGGGGTCAAAAGTGAGGTGGGTGGCTGCTTGAGACAAGCCCCTTCTCTGTCTGTTGCACGCACAGCAATCTTTTCTTCCGGGGTGGGGAAGAGGGAAAAGGAGCCACAGTTTGGATTTCCATCATGAAGCTGCCGGTGACTGACCTCAGGAAGGGCAGTTGCAGCGGCAGGGGCTTGGAGGCGCCTCGGGAGTGACGCCCGCCCGTGTCTGTATTGGCAGTGCTCCCCTCCAGAGGAAGCGAGGAGTGCCTGGGTGGCTGCACTCCGAAGCAGTTCTGTGCTCTGCTGGGGAGGCCGCTTGTTAGCTACACAGTGCGAGCCATGGAAAGGTAAATAGCCATTGCCACCTCGTCTTCCCTCACGCGGGGAAAATAATGTTTTTGCTTGAGCGGCGCCCGCCTGATAGTGTGGCCAACGGCTTTTCCCTTCATCCACACATGCACACACGCTCTCCAGGGCTGACAGGAATAGCGCGCTTACCTCAGCCCCCCACCCCCATGTGGACCATTTGGATCCCTTCCAATCACAATTCAGACCCCATTATGGGACTGAAACTGCCTTGGTTGCGCTGGTTGATGATCTCCCGAGGGCTAGGGACAAAGGTCAAAGCTGTTTCTTGGTTCTGCTGGATCTCTCAGGTGCTTTTGATACCATTGACCATGGTATTCTTCTGGTCTGTCTAGAGGAGTTGGGAGCTGGAGATACTGTTTGCAGTAGTTCCGCTTCTTCCTTCTGGTGTTGGGGGATGAGTGTTCACACCCCTGGGCTCTCACTTGTGGGTGCCTCAGGGCTCCATCCTCTCCCCCATGTTCTTTTACATGAAGCCACTGGTAGAGGTCATCAGGGGGTTTGGGCTGTGTGTTCACCAGTATGCATATGATACCCAGCTCTACCTCTCCTTTAAATCGGAACCAGTGAATCAGTGAATGTTCTGTGCGAGTATCTGGAGGCTGTTGGAGGATGGATGGTGCCACAGACTCATATTTTTGTGGGAAATCGCCTCCTTCTGTGACATACGTATGATGCTTTTTGGGTAGTCTTTGGCTAAGTGGTTGGGCAAAGTCAAAAGTTTTTAAAAGGGTCTGCACTCCTTTGTCCTGGGTTCCTGACCTCCTTGCAAATGGGAAGGGGGGGGGGTCTCTGTTGCAACAGGAAATAAAGATATACATATTGGCCCGAATAGAAGATGCACCCGCAAATAAGCTGCACCTTTAAAATTCAAGGTTTATTTGTGGGTGTGGCCCGCCTCTCGACACTACCGCCCTGAACAGGGGGCAGGGGGTGGGTGGCACTCGGCGCCCCGTTCCCCAAGCCAGCACTTGTTTCAAGCGTGCTGTGTGCCCGCCTCCTGACACTACTGTCTCCCAGTACTCCCTCCCCAAGCCGACACGGGGGGGGGGGAGGCTGGGGAGCAGCGGGCGGGCGGCTGCGCACCGTTGCCCCACACTCCCCGGCTGCTTCCGGTGTGGGGGAGCCGCGTCGCTTTGCCAGAGGCCTCTCCCAGTTGTCTCACACACCCTGAAGGCCCTCGCGGGCAGCTGTTTCAGCAGCGATACCATAAGGTCACGAATATAAGCCGTACTTTAACTTTTCACAATTGGAATTGGGGGGGGGGGAGTGTGGTTTATATTCGGGCCAGTGCAATACTGTACCTTGCTTTTGCTGGATCCTGCCTCAGCTCATTATTCTCTGACAGATAACGAACTTGGGGGATGTTAAAAGGCACCCCCCATTTTCTGGTAACATATCTGACTGGGTTGCCCCAGCCATGCTGGACGGCTTCCAACATATATAAAAATATAATAAAACATTAAACATTAAAAAACTTCCCCATATAGCTGGCTTCCCCAAACTCAGTCCTCCAGTTGTTTTGGGACTACAATTCCCATCATCCCTAACCACGGGTCCTGTTAGCAAGGGATGATGGGAGTTGTAGTCCCAAAAATAGCTGGAGGGCCGAGTTTGGGGGGTGACTGCCATATAGGGCTGCCTATGCTTGGGGGTTGCATAACTCTATACCCTCTAACATTTCTCCAAGGAAAACAGGGACATCCTAAGGAAAAGCCTGACATTCCGGGATCAAATCAGAAACCAGGATGGCTTCTGTAAATCTGGAACTGTCCCTAGGAAATAGGGACACTTGGAGGATCTGAGATACTGGGTCCCTTGATGGGAAATTGGACTTTAAAAGTCAATCCCATTTTTTCTAAAACCAATGTTAAGGTAAAACGGAGAGGGGAGAGACCCATGTATGCCACCTTGAAAGGTGGGATAGAAATGTAATAAGCAATTTTAGTTTCTGGACTTCATGGTCTTTCCTCCAACACTTTTAGGTGCCAACTTTACTTCAAAATGTGGCAAGCCAGCTGTGCTGGATTGGGGGACCCTCGGGCTCATTCTGCTCAGTGAGTCTCTGGACCTGTGCCCTAGAGTCTTAACTCTTATGGCTGCCACTCACTATCTGCACTCTTCCCACCTTCACATAATCCGAGAGCTCCGCTCCTGGGGCCCTCCACGTCTCGAGGTGTCGCTGTGAGGAGCGAAGCATCCCTTTTAACCCGCTGAACTGCTTTACTACTTATTGGGCCGCCCAGTTGACCCTCTCGCGCGTTTTTTTTTTTTTTTTTGTCTCTCCGGAGATCTCGCGGGCCTTGGACGTTCTATTCCACCCACGTGAGCCGAGTGTAACAAGCGAGGGGGGGGGTGTGCGACGGGAGTTACATTGTAGCAATGAAAGAAGAGCACTAGGTGCGCGCATACACGAGAAAGAAACGAGAGAGAGAGAGGGGGCTTGAGGGAGAAAAGGAAGCAGTCGCTTGCACGTGTGAACAGATAAATTTGTGCCCTTGTGTAGCTGCTGCCGCTCTTCCTCCTTTCTGGATCCGGATCAAGGGAAATCCGGATCTGGCTGCCAGACAGCCCCTTCCTGCCTCTACCTACCTACCACGACCCTCCGCTAAGCTTCGGCACTCACACAAGCCGGGTCCGTTTGGCATTACTCCCGACAAGGCCAGCCCATGGCCAGCGGAGGGTGGACGCTACCCGGTGAGGATTTCCCATCCTCGCAGCCGCCGCCTCCTCCTTCCCAAACGAAGCAGCCACCGCCGCCTCAGCCTACTGCCGATGCTGCAGCCGCCGCTGTGGAGCACGATCTAGAGCAGTGGCGCGAGAAGCAGGAGAACGACAGGTACTGGGTTCTGCGCAGGCAGTTCCTCCTCCGCAACCTGCGGGGCTACTCGGACGCTGCCGCCTTCCAGAAGCTTCTGGCACTGTCTCATGCTTGGACCAACCACGTCTTCATGGGATGCAGGTGAGATGAGGAACGTTTTTCGTTTATTATGCACTTTCCCATCCCATCTCTGCACACATGAAGTCCTCAGTCGCGCAAGTAATAACTGTGATATATAGCCAAAGACCCTTGTTAACAAAGAAGAGGCTCGGATTGTTAATAGGGAGGTGGGGTGGGGGTGGGGGGAAACACACACACACACATGCATATCTTTCATCCATCCATTCAGTGCATTTCCTGTTGTTTGTTTAGGAACACAGGAAGCTGTCTTATACAGGTCCGTGTAGTTCAATATTGTCTGTGCTGAGGGGTAGGGGCTTGCCAGGATTTTTGACAGGGTCTGGAAACCAGACCTTATGATGGATGATTGAGCGAGTTGGGTATATTTAGCCTGGAGAAGAGAAGACTGAGAGGTGATGTGATAGCCATCTTCAAATATCTGAAGGGTTGCCACATGGAAAATGGAGCAAGCTTGTTTTCTCCTGCTTTGGAGTTACAAGAAAGAAGATTCCAACTGAACATTAAGAAGAATTTTAGGATGGTAGGAGCTGTTTTACAGTGGAACAGACTACCACTGGAGGTGGTGGACTCTTCTGCACTGGAGGTTTTTGAACAGAGGTTGGCTGGCCCTCTGTTAGTGATTCTTTAGATGTGATTCCTGCATCACATGGGGTTGGACTAGATGACCCTCAGGCTCCCTTCCAACTTTGGATTTCTAAGGCATCTCCTGGGAGGGCTGGGGAAAAGAGTCAAAGATTGAACCTGGGGCCTCATGTAAACAAGGCAGATGCTTTATCACTGAGCTATATCCCTTTCTGTTCAATAATTTTGACATAGAATGCTGCCTTTTACTGAGTCAGCCATTGTTCTTTCTAGCTCAGTATTGTCTGCAACAGTGGCAGGGAACCTGTGTCCCTCCAATGTTGTTGGAGGCCAAATTCCACCAGCCCCACTCGTCTTGGCCAGTATTATTGTTATTGGTCAGGTATGACAGGAGTTGTTGGAGTCCAGTTAGGTCTGAAGGGCTACAGGTTTCCCATCCCTGTAGTTCTCAAGGATTTCTGACAGGGATCTCTCCCAGCCTTACCTGGAGGTGCCAAGGATTGAACCTGGGCCCTCCGTACAAAGCAGATGCTCTGCTACTGACCTTAGCTCCCTTTTCCTCCTCTTCTCATTATTCTTTGTTCACAACTCATTTTCCTTTCCATTCAGTGATTTTCAGTGTTAGTATTTAATATTTATATCATGCTGTAGCAATAAATACTAAGAATAGGTTACAGACAGAAAACCAGTAACAATGCAATAAACAAGAGCACCCTGTGATAAAACCATCCACTTGAAGCAAGCAGTCATTTAAAAACATCAAGAGCATAGTAAAGAAAAACCTTTTGGAAAAAGAGTAGCAGAACTAACCGTGAAAAGACTGCTTGAATAAAAACACTTTTGCTTTGGGTTCAAAAGGCAGCAAAGAGGAAGCTGGGCAAATATTCCACAGTTTCTATTCTTGTGAGCACCCCATTAGCACCTGTCTGATTGCCATTATAGAGCAGCGACAAAGCCTGATATTCTGCCAGTGAAAGGCAGAATATTAAATGTTCTGTTTACCATCTTCATTGAACCACAAAGCGATTCCAAGTTCCCAACACCTTTGAGACCCTACAGGTCTTCTTCAGGGGAATTTTTGTTTATTGGCTTGGTCTTTATTTACATACATATATACAAGGTACAGAACATAGCTTCACGTGTTCGAATCCTTGGTAGCAGATCCAGGAAGTGGGAGCTTTCAGCTCCTCCTCCAGCAGAGGAGCTTGGGAAGCCCCAAATGCCTTCTTTGTTCCCTAGGTTTTAACCCCCTCCTGTCCTGTGCTGAAGGAACAGGCATCAAATCTCCCCCTGTCCCTGAACTGTTCGAGTGGTGTTGCTGCTCTCCAGCATCCGGGAGCGTCCTCGCCACTTGAGTTCCTTCCGCTTGCTTGTCCTACTCTCCCTCTCCTGTTTTTTCTAAAGGCTCCTGTTCTTCCCCCTCCCTCAGCTCCAGGGCATTCCCTGGCAGCCCCGTGACAATAGGTGGCCCATTTTCCTTTCATATTTAATCTTTTAACTGAAATTGCTTCCACTGGAGATAGCCACCAAGGTGTTTTTCGTTCTAATAAATCTTTATATCTTACCCAAACTTCATATATGGATTTCCTTATCGTGTGGTTCAAAAATCCTCTGTGTACTTTGACTTTATCATACCATAAATATGCGTGCCACCCAAATCTATTGCCATAAACCTCTAGATCTAATAGATCCGTATTCTCCAACATCATCCACTCTCTCAGCCAGCAGAGGCAGGACACTTCATAGTATAATTTCAAACCTGGCAGGGAAAATCCCCCCCTCTTTTTTATCAGTAAGAAGTTTATACTTTATCCTAGGTTTCTTCCCTTGCCAGATAAATCTTGATAAAACTTTCTTTCACTCTTTGAATTGTCCCACCCCTCTGATCACAGGGATCGTCTGAAATAAAAATAACATTTTAGGTATCACATTCATCTTCACAGCTGAAATTCTTCCCCCAAAATACAGTTTCAATATTCCCCACACTTCTAAATCTTTTTTAATATCTTTCCATACAGGTAAAAAAATTGTCTTTAATAATAATAATAATAATAATAATAATAATAATAATAATAATAATTTATTGTTTATACCCCGCCCATCTGGCTGGGCTTCCCCAGCCACTTTGGGTGGCTTCCAAAAGAATATTAAAATACTGTGATACATCAAACATTAAAAGCTTCCCTAAACAGGGCTGCCTTCAGATGTCTTCTAAAAGTCTGGTAGTTGTTGTTCTCTTTGACATCTGGTGGGAGGGCGTTCCACAGGGAGGGCGCCACTACCCAAAAGGCCTTCTGCCTGGTTCCCTGTAACTCGGCTTCTCTCAGTGAGGGAACCACCAGAAGGCCCTCGGTGCTGGATCTCAGTGTCCGGGAAGAACGATGGGGGTGGAGACGCTCCTTCAGGTATACTGGACCGAGGCCGTTTAGGGCTTTAAAGGTCAGCACCAACACTTTGAATTGTGCTCGGAAACGTACTGGAAGCCAATGTAGGTCTTTCAAGACCGGTGTTATATGGTCTCGGCGGCCACTCCCAGTCACCAGTCTGGCTGCTGCTTTCTGGATTAGTTGTAGTTTCCGGGTCACCTTGAAAGGTAGCCCCACGTAGAGCGCATTGCAGTAGTCCAAGTGGGAGATAACCAGAGCATGCACCACTCTGGCGAGGCAGTCCGCAGGCAGATAGGGTCTCAGCCTGCGTACCAGATGGAGCTGGTACACAGCTGCCCTGGACACAGATTAAACCTTTGCCTCCATGGACAGCTGTGAGTCCAAAATGACTCACAGGCTGCGCACCTGGTCCTTCAGGGGCACAGTTACCCCATTCAGGACCAGGGAATCCTCCACACCTGCCCGCCTCCTGTCCCCCAGAAACAGTACTTCTGTCTTGTCAGGATTCAGTCTCAATCTGTTAGCCGCCATCCATCCTCCAACCGCCTCCAGACACTCACACAGGACCGTCACCGCCTTCAGTGGTTCTGATTTGAAAGAGAGGTAGAGCTGGGTATCATCCACATACTGATGAACACCCAGCCCAAACCCCCTGATGATCTCTCCCAGCGGCTGCATGTAGATGTTGAAAAGCATGGGGGAGAGTACAGAACCCTGAGGCACCCCACAAGTGAGAGCCCAGGGGTCTGAACACTCATCCCCCCCCACCACTTTCTGGACACGGCCCAGGAGGAAGGAGCGGAACCACTGTATGACAGTGCCCCCAGCTCCCAGCCCCTCAAGACGGTCCAGAAGGATGTTATGGTCGATGGTATCAAAGGCCGCTGAGAGATCCAGCAGAACTAGGAAACAGCTCTCACCTTTGTCCCTAGCCCGCCGGAGATCATCAACCAGTGCGACCAAGGCAGTCTCCCGCCCGTGATGAGGCCTGAATCCCGACTGGAAGGGATCCAAATGGTCCGCTTCTTCCAGGCGTGCCTGGAGTTGTTCAGCAACCACTCGCTCAATCACCTTGCCCAAGAATGGAAGATTTGAGACTGGGCGATAGTTGGCCATCGTGGCCGCATCTAAAGATGGTTTTTTAAGAAGCGGTTTAATAACCGCCTCTTTCAGCGGGCCTGGGAAGGCTCCCTCACGGAGGGAAGCATTCACCACCCCACGAAGCCCATCGCCCAGCCCTTCCCAGCTAGCTTTTATAAGCCAGGATGGGCAAGGATCAAGGAGACAGGTGGTTGGTTTCACTCATCCAAGCAGCCTGTCCACATCCTCGGAGGTAACAGATTGGAAATGATGCCACGCAATTTGACTAGACAGGACTCTAGCACTCTCCCGCCCCGGCCCTGCTCCCACGGTGGCATCTACCTCTTCCCGAATCTGAGCGACTTTATCTGCAAAAAAACTTTGCAAAATCATTGCAGGAGATCATGTGGCCCGTACTGGGTCCCGATGTAGCAGGTGGTTCCGCTAAATTGCGGACCACCTGAAAAAGTCTCCTGCTGCTGTTTTCTGCAGATGCAATAGAGGCGGTGAAGAAAGTCTTCTTCGCCGTCACTACCACCACTTGGTAGGCTCGACATTGAGCTCTAACCTGTGTCCGGTCAGCTTCAGAATGGGTCATCCGCCACCGGCGCTCTAGCCGTCTCAACAATTGTTTCATTGCCCTCAGATCTGTGGAAAACCACGGGGCTGTCCGGGCTCCATGCAATCGGAGAGGGCGCTTCGGAGCCAAACAGTCGATAGCCCTGGTTAACTCCACATTCCAGCGGGCCACCTCCATATATAAATTTATATATTTTTTATGTTAACCATGTTAACCATAACCATGGTTATGTTAACCATATTCCTAAATATTTAACTTTTTTAACCACCATAATTCCTGCTTTAAATTGCATTTCGTCAATTTCTTTCTCAGTCATATTTTTAACCATCATTTTTGTATAAGCCTTATTAAGCTTAAATCCTGCTAGTTTCCCAAATTCTTCAGTTTTCCCCAGTGCTTCTCTTAGACTGGACCGTGGTTCTTCTAAAGGTAAAACCAAGTCATCAGCAAAGGCTTTTAATTTATATTCCTTTACACCAATCTTTATACCTTTCACAGTTTGTTTCTCTTAGCAATCTTGTCAGGACCTCTAGGACCGTTATAAACAATAACTGTGATAAGGGACATCCCTGTCTCGTCCCTTTTGAAATTTCAAATTTTTCAGTCAACACATTATTAACTATCAATCTTGCCTTTTGTTCTGAATATACAGCTTCTATACCTTTGAGGAATAGATCCCCTACACCCATCAGTTCCAATTTTTTCCTCATAAAATACCAAGATATATTATCAAAAGCTTTTTCAGCATCAATAAACAACAAAGCTGCTTGCTTATTGTTCCTAGTCTCCAAATATTCTATTATGGCAATTATATTTCTCACATTGTCTTTCAATTGTCGACCAGGAAGAAAGCCAGCTTGGTCTTGATGGATTTGTTCCTTCAAGGTTTCCTTCAATCTGTTTGCTAATATATTGGCAAAAAGCTTATGTTGTTGTTTAGTCGTTTAGTCGTGTCTGACTCTTCGTGACCCCATGGACCAGAGCACGCCAGGCACTGTCTTCCACTGCCTCCCGCAGTTTGGTCAAACTCATGCTGGTAGCTTCGAGAACACTATCCAACCATCTCATCATCTGTCATCCCCTTCTCCTTGTGCCCTCCATCTTTCCCAACATCAGGGTCTTTTCCAGGGAGTCTTCTCTTCTCATGAGGTGGCCAAAGTATTGGAGTCTCAGCTTCAGGATCTGTCCTTCCAGTGAGCACTCAGGGCTGATTTCCTTAAGAATGGAGAAGTTTGATCTTCTTGCAGTTCATGGGACTCTCAAGAGTCTCCTCCAGCACCATAATTCACCATAACTCTCATAGTGGAGAGTTTTGACCAAACGTGATCCACCTGGAGCAGGAACCGGCAAGCCACTCCAGTATCCCTGCCAAGAAAACTCCATGGACAAAGACAAAAAGCTTATAGTCATTATTTAATAAAGAGATAGGTCTGTACGTTCAATAAATCTGTATCTTGTTTAGGAATCAAAGTGATATAGGCCTCTCTCCATGTCTTTGGGATCAAACCATTTGTCAAAATATTATTCGTAACATTTTTTAACTGGTATGTCAGTTGCTCACTCAGTATCTTATAGTATTTAGCTGTAAGTCCATAAGGTCCTGGTGCCTTGCCTGACTTCAACTGTTTTATTGCAGTTTGTATTTCAGTTATCGTTATTAACGAGCTCAGTTAATTTTGTTTTTCCATTGGAATCTTCTGTAATTTGTGATTCTCCAAGTAGCTCTCTATTCTTCCTTTGTTCTCCTTCTCCACTTTATATAATTCTCTATAACATTTATGAAAGCTTTTTTAAATTTCCTTCGGGTTCTCTATCATCTTGTCCTCCACTCTTATTTTATTTATGGTATTTTGACCCTGTTTCTTTTTCAATCGCCAGGCTAAAAGTTTCCCAGATTTATTAGCAAATTCAAAATTCCTTTGCCTTAACATTTTTATTTTCCATTCCACTTCCTGATTTATAATCATTGAAAACTGTGTTTGCAGCATCTTACTATTTTCTTTTATTTGAATATTTCCTGCTGACCTATTTCAATTGATTTTGTTTGATTTGCTGATAGCAAACAGCTGAAAGTTTGTAAATTTTGATAATAAACCTGATTTGCAATGGGGGTTGAATAATTTTGATTGCAACTGTACAACCCATTGAACACAGCCCTTCAAGTATTAAGTGTAAATGTCCCTGGTTTTGCTACCAGCCATAAACTGTGCCCCCCTCAAAAAAAAAAAAAAAAAAGAGTGCTGAAAGGGAAGAGGTTGCATTTGCTAAGAATAAAGCTGGTCATAACCATTGCTTGTCTGGCTCCATTCACTTTGCTGGGTCAGAAGTTATCCAGGCTTAGGAACATAGGAAATAGTCTTATGCCTTGCAAATTTGGCCATCTAACTCAATGTTGTCTACTTTGACTCACAAGGATTCTGCACTGGAGGTTTTTGAACAGAGGTTGGCTGGCCCTCTGTTAGTGATTCTTTAGATGTGATTCCTGCATCACATGGGGTTGGACTAGATGACCCTCAGGCTCCCTTCCAACTTTGGATTTCTAAGGCATCTCCTGGGAGGGCTGGGGAAAAGAGTCAAAGATTGAACCTGGGGCCTCATGTAAACAAGGCAGATGCTTTATCACTGAGCTATATCCCTTTCTGTTCAATAATTTTGACATAGAATGCTGCCTTTTACTGAGTCAGCCATTGTTCTTTCTAGCTCAGTATTGTCTGCAACAGTGGCAGGGAACCTGTGTCCCTCCAATGTTGTTGGAGGCCAAATTCCACCAGCCCCACTCGTCTTGGCCAGTATTATTGTTATTGGTCAGGTATGACAGGAGTTGTTGGAGTCCAGTTAGGTCTGAAGGGCTACAGGTTTCCCATCCCTGTAGTTCTCAAGGATTTCTGACAGGGATCTCTCCCAGCCTTACCTGGAGGTGCCAAGGATTGAACCTGGTCTGCTCTGCTCTGCTACTGACCCTTTTCCTCCTCTTCTCATTATTCTTTGTTCACAACTCATTTTCCTTTCCATTCAGTGATTTTCAGTGTTAGTATTTAATATTTATATCATGCTGTAGCAATAAATACTAAGAATAGGTTACAGACAGAAAACCAGTAACAGTGCAATAAACAAGAGCACCCTGTGATAAAACCATCCACTTGAAGCAAGCAGTCATTTAAAAACATCAAGAGCATAGTAAAGAAAAACCTTTTGGAAAAAGAGTAGCAGAACTAACCGTGAAAAGACTGCTTGAATAAAAACACTTTTGCTTTGGGTTCAAAAGGCAGCAAAGAGGAAGCTGGGCAAATATTCCACAGTTTCTATTCTTGTGAGCACCCCATTAGCACCTGTCTGATTGCCATTATAGAGCAGCGACAAAGCCTGATATTCTGCCAGTGAAAGGCAGAATATTAAATGTTCTGTTTACCATCTTCATTGAACCACAAAGCGATTCCAAGTTCCCAACACCTTTGAGACCCTACAGGTCTTCTTCAGGGGAATATTTGCTTATTGGCTTGGTATCACCGTCATTGGTCAAAACCAATCCTTGGATCATCTTCTACTTCACAAGTAATATTTTCCCGACTATGTTAAGGTATTGAATATTTGTGTGGTTCAATAAATCTTGTGGACCTCTTTAATAGTCTGCCATGTCCACTGTTGTGGCATGGATGGGCCTTTGGTTTGCACCTGCAGGCAGCCCACGTTTCCTTAACTTTGCATCATTTGGGGCCCAATTTCTTCTCTCCAGAATAATTCATCCTCCATTATTCACTCCCCATCCCACAAACAAGGAAGCTAGAAGCCAGTGCTTCCAGGTCAGAGGGCAGGATGAGCAGGTTGTCTTAGAATCATAGAATTGTAGGGTTAGAAGGGACCACAAGGGCCATCTAGTCCAACCCCCTGCAATGCAGGAGTCCTTTTGCCCAAATGGGCTCATGATCTACTGACTGAGCTATTTAGAATGGAGCCCCTGGTTTTTATCAGCTACTGGGGCCACATCTGCAGCAAACATTTAAATCATTGTTATACCACTTTAAAAAGTCATTGCTTCAATCCTGTTTAACTCACAGAGCTACAATTCCCAGAGTTCCCTGTGATTATTTAACCACTTTGAGAATAGCAGCTCTGTGAGGGAAATAGGGGTATCATAGTGCTTTAAATGTATATTCTGGATTTGGACATAGTCAGCATAGCATACAGTTGCAATCAAAATTATTCAACCCTCATTGCAAATCAGGTTTATTGTCAAAATTACAGACTTTCAGCTGTTTGCAATAAGCAAATCAAACAAAAGCGATTGAAATAGCTCAACACAACGGATGCTTCAAGTGGTTTTCCCAAATTCAGCTGAAACTGCAACTTATACGGGCTTCCCCAGTCTCACTATTATTCAACCCCTTCATGACAAGAATCTTTAGTACTTAGTAGAGCAGCCTTTTGCTGCTATGATGTGCTGCAAATGAGATGCATAGCCAGACAGCAGCTTCCAGCAGCGTTCCTGAGGAATCTCAGCCCATTCCTCATGGCCTCCAGTTCAGTAATATTCTTGGGTTTGTGTGCTGCAACCGCCTTCTTCAGATCCCACTAGAGATTTTCTATGGGGTTCAAGTTAGGTGACTGTGATGGCCGCTATAGAACCTTCCAGGACTACTTCTGCAACCAAGCCTTGGTGGAATTTGAGGTATGCTTTGGATCACTGTCTTGTTGGAAAATCCAAAGATGCCCAAGCTTCAGCTTACTCACAGATGGCATGACATTTCTGTGGGAATGTTGTAGACAGTAGGAGAGGATATGTTGATTAATTATTATCCTTCCTCACTCATGCTAGTGAGTGATATAGATATAGATATAGATCTCAGAGCTCATTCCCCTTCACACAGCAGAAAGCTAGTTTGCAGATTCATTTGAATCTCTTTAGTTAAGCAATCCAATCTGGCATGCCCAGACTGGAGTATATTCCTGGTAAGATCCCTTAAAGACTTGTGTCTTTTATTTCTTTTTTCCTTATGAAGTTTACTCACATTCAGTTCACAGTATGATCCCTGAAGGCAGCCTTTAGCTTGTAGTTACAGATACAGTGTGGCTTACATCCTTGTAAGGATGGGCCGATGTGCTGCTGGCACAGAGCCAGCAGACAGCATCAGGAGCAGTGGCCAAAATGGAAGAGAGTGGCAAAAGAGAGGAGGGATGGCGGCTGGAATAACCCCCCCTGTCTGTGTCCACTCTAGGGAAACAAGGAATGTTGTATTATTATTATTATTAAATCATTTTTATTGATTTTCCAATAAAAACAGCCAATCCATATCATAAGCCAATTAAAAACAATAAACTAACATAAAAAACGACCAAATTACCATCCGAATTATTAATAATTTTTTTTGGGGGGGGGCTCCCCATAGTCTGGACCTTTGAAGTGTATCTCCAATATCTTCGATCCTGCCTCTTGTTGTTGTTTTCATGTTTTCCACATCCCGATCTTAACGCTTTAAAGTTCTCCGTCCCTGGCTCTGCGATTCTCAGTCATGTCAGAAATCATACAGTGGTGCCCCGCAAGACGAATGCCTCGCAAAACGAAAAACCCGTTAGACGAAAGGGTTTTCCGTTTTTGCGTCGCTTCGTAAGATGATTTCCCCTATGGGCTTGCTTCGCAAGACGAAGGGCTTGATCCGCGCCGCGCGCAAACTGCTTTCACCGCCAATCTATCTATGCGGCAGCGGGGAATCTAATAGTAATAGCAATCGATACATTATTAGCGTCCGGAAACACAGCCGGTGGTGATGCTGCCCCGCGCCTCTTCGAAAAGTTCCTAGGCTTCAGCCTTAGAACTGGGAGGGGACCTGGCGGCGACACCCAGCTCGGGGTGGGATTTCCCCGTCTGCGCTCTTAGCGCGCGCGGCGACCGCTAGTTCCCGAGGACGGCAGACTGGGCGGGGGGGCATGAAAAGTTTTGCCTGCCCATCTCCGAGGAAGCAGGGGGAGATGATCCCTGTCAAGGGAAGAAGGGGGCACCCATTTACCAGCAGCCGGTGCCCCCGAACCGAGGCTGGCGCCATCGCCTGTCAAAGTGACCACAAAGGCGAGCTCCGGTCGCACGGCCGAGGGAAGCCCCGCTGTGGGTCGTCCAAAGTCAGCCCGAGCATGCCACTCACCTAAAAGGCATGGAGAGACGGAGGGAGCGCGCGAGGATCCTGGTGCAGAGGAGGCTCCTGCAGCAAAATAAAGGCAGCCGGCAGCCGGAGGGCTCCAGAACACGGAGCTGCGGCGGGGCCGTCGATGGCATTGCCGGAGACTCCTCCCTCTGGGCCTCGCTCTCTCCGCTTTCGCTGCTGCTTGCCCTGCCTGCGATCGGCCGGGCTCATCGCTCCGCTCTGCAGAGCGCTGCACAAAGGCGCGGCGGGACAGGTGTCCGGGGACGCTTTGGCTGAGCGCGCCCCGGGATCGGAGGTGCGGGGTGCTTGCTGCAGATCTTATCTTCCGGGGTCGCTGGGATGGCTCGCTCCGCTCTGCAGAGCGCTGCGCAAAGGCGCGGCAGGACAGGTGTCCGGGGACGCTTTGGCTGAGCGCGCCCCGGGATCGGAGGTGCGGGGTGCTTGCTGCAGATCTTATCTTCCAGGGTCGCTGGGATGGCGGCGGTCGGGGCTTGTGTTATGTAAGCGCGTCAGGAGGGACTGCTTAAGAGGCCGGACGAGGCTTATGCAATGGCCAGATGCTCCCTAGGGGTCGAGGCTTGCAGTTGCGGGAACGAGTTTATACCTGTAGCCGCTAAGCCGCTAATAGCTGTGCTTCGCAAGATGAAAAAAACCGCAAGACGAAGAGACTCGCGGAACGGATTAATTTCATCTTGCGAGGCACCACTGTATATCCTTTCGTCCATCGAATACAGCTTTATTTTTGTATATATATATTTTCAACTGTGTACAGTGGTGCCCCGCAAGACGAATGCCTCGCAAGACGGAAAAACCGCTAGACGAAAGGGTTTTCCGTTTTGAAGTTGCTTCGCAGGACGAATTCCCCTATGGGCTTGCTTCGCAAGACGAAAATACCTTGCGAGTCTTGAGGTTTTTTTTTTCGCTTTCCCCCCCCTTTATCTAATCTGCTAAGCCTTTAATAGCCTTTAATAGCCTTTTAGCAGCTAATCCCCTAAGCCTTTAAGCCTTTAATAGCCGCTAAACCGCTAATAGCGCTAATAGCGCTAATCCGTCAATGGGCTTGCTTCGCAAGACGAAAAAACCGCTAGACGAAGACTCTCGCGGAACGGATTAATTTCGTCTTGCGAGGCACCACTGTATTTGCCAGCGCAGCTTTCCCTGACTCCATTCCAATCTTCCAATCCGGGCTGTTGTTCAAGTCTATTGTCTGAAGTTTAATGACGCAGCAACTCCCAAATTGTTAAATCATTCCAATCCGGGCTGTTGTCCAAACTTTTCGTTTGAGATTTAATAACATAGTAGCTTCCACGTTGTTAAGTTGTTACTGTAAATTGTTGAGCATACTGTTTGCAATATTGCAATGTAAATGAACTGTATTCCACAGATATAAGTCATTTGGCGATCGATCAGCCTCTTGGAGACCACACAATCCCACCCTTCGGGCCCTACAAGGGGGGCTGCTAGACATCCATTCAGCCTTCTCTCTTGCTCATAATGAAAAACTTCTGCAAACAGCTGCACTATATGTTGTCCAAAATTGTTATCTCAAGTCATTACAAAGTCAGCTAGCAAATATGTCCTGCTTCCCTCGAAAAAGGGAGGAATTCTCATTTTTCCGTGCTGCGTCATATTAACAAGTGCCATCTTATTTCTTCTTTTATCTTTATCGAGTCTTTCAAGTCTGAGTAAAGCTGCACAGTTGAATACTTAATTATAAATAGAAGTCCATCTGTACTCTTTTTTTTAAAAAAAAAGTTTCTTGATGAGGCTTGGCATAGAAAACCAATTGTAGATATTAAGAAGGAAAAAAGGACATACCAAACACCTCCGTAATCCAAACGCCATGATGAGAATCTCTTTGAAATCCAAGCTTAAACACCAGGGACTGTACAGTTCTGCAGGTTTTTTCTTAGTCTTCTTCAGTCCAGACTATGTCTGTTTATTCTTCAAATCCAATCATTTTATCAAGCAAATATTTCCGGCTATGAGAATGGCATCGGAGAGTGCCAGCCGTGTCGTGCTCTGGGACCCAGTGTCCTGCCGCTTGCACCTTGATGCAAGCTGACAATCTCAGACAATCTGCGGGTCTACGAGACAGTCCTCCCCCACCCTGGGGAGTCTGCCAGGGCTAATTACCCCCATATCAGCCCTGAGAGCCAGTGTGGTGTAGTGGTTAAGAGCGGTAGTCTCGTAATCTGGGGAACTGGGTTCGAGTCTCCGCTCCTCCACATGCAACTGCTGGGTGACCTTGGGCCAGTCACACTTCTTTGAAGTCTCTCAGCCCCACTCACCTCACAGAGTGTTTGTTGTGGGGGAGGAAGGGAAAGGAGAATGTTAGCCGCTTTGAGACTCCTTAAAGGGAGTGAAAGGCGGGATATCAAATCCAAACTCTTCTTCTTCTTCTGAATTACCGGCACGGCTGGGATCCAATCATATGGGAGTCAGCCATTTCTCACCGCTGGAAACAGGAATCCTAAAACTTTTGTGGCTTATGTATATGATTTTGAGCATATTGGAGCCAACTTTTCTTGTGTTTTGGGGTCAGTAGTGGTGTACGTCTTGGAGTTCTGGCATGGAAACCACCTGCATTTACTACGTGCTTTACTTTGCTCACTGAAACCTCAGTGCCTGCTGCCACCAAGTCTTGATGCAGCTCTTTTGCAGTCACTCAAGGGTTTTTCCCAGCCTGCCTTCTCAGAAATCTGGTTGCTGCCGCATCCAAGTAGTGTGACCACTGTTCCTTTAACTTTGAACTTGCAAACTATGCTTCCAATAGTGTCTCTAGGAACATTCAGTGTCTTCACTATCTTTTTGTATCCTGCTCCTTGTTTGTGAAGGCCAACGATCTCTTACCTTCTTGGACCATTCTCTTGACTTAGCCATATTTCTAACATACAGCCAAATTTGACACTCCGTGACCCCCTAGTCAGCTCAGGTATTTCATGTGTTAAAGCTGGTGTATCAGGTGTGCTTGAGACAACACCTGTTGTATTTGTGCTGTTGTGAGGGATTCTATTCAGGGGGTTGAATAATAGTGAGACTGGAAAAGCCTGTATAAGTTGCAATTTCAGCTGAATTTGGGGAAACCATTTGAAGCATCCGTTGTGGTTAGTTATTTCATATTTTTAAAAAATAATAATAATTTTATTAAAGTTTTCAGATTTTACATTACCACATTAACATCTTTCACTATACCCATACATTCAGCAACTTTCCTCCTTCCCCTTCCAAGGTTCTTTTAATTTACCCATAATTCCTGCATATTCTTGTATATTCATCTATTTCAGTTTTCCCCATTTTACATCCCTTTTAAATATGTTATACGGTTGAATTTACCTTAGTACTGCCTGCTTTTGCAACTGTGTACAATTATTTCCCACATACTCAACAAAAATTTTCCTCTCCTCTTTAAATGCCTGTTCTTCTCTTATTCTACTTGTAAGACCTGCTACCTCTGCATATTCTATCATCTTAAGTTGCCAATTCTCCTAACTAGGGACCATCCCTTTTGGTGCTAACAATTCCAAGTTGCTGTTGTCGCATACATATTTTTTACTGACACCTGGGTACCTCTTTCAGAACCATTCCTAACAGGAATGCCTCTGGCTTTTTTGGGAATGTTGTTTTAAAACATTTTTTTCCATTTCATCATATCATTTCCTAATATTCTTTAACTTTTTTGCATGCCCACCACATATGAAAAAAGTTCATTCTGTTTTCTTACATTTCCAACACAAATCAGATTCAGATTTATACATCTTAACTACGTAATCTACTCTGTGTTAAATATTATCTATGAATCATTTTCATATAATTTCCCTTCAAAGTGTACCTTGTGGCATATTTCAAATCTTTCTTCCACAATTTCTCCCAGAGGTCAAATTCTATATTATGCCCTATATCAGTTGCCCAGTGAGTCATTGAAGCTTTTACCAGCTCATCTTTTGTTTCCCACTCCAATAGTAGCTTATACATTTAGACAATAGTTTTTCATTATTTTCTAATAAATCTCTTGTGAGCTTTGGTTCAGAAATCCATTTTTCTTACCTAGTTTAAACATATCATACAATTGATGGTACTGTAAATAGTCTGTTACTTGGCTCCTTATTCCTTCCTTTGGTTTCAATCTGGATTCCCTCCCTGAGAGGTCCAGTAAGTCTGTATAGGTTGTCCGCTGTCTGTCCATGTTGATTCTCTTGATTGCAATAGCTTCCATTGGCGATAACCATAGGGGTGTTTTCCTTTCCAGCAGGTTCTTATATTTCTGTTGATATTTTCACTCAGTTTTATAGCAAGGTGCACAAGACCAGATATTGCTGTAAGTGTAAATCTGCTCAGCAGACATGCAAACCAACCCACAGTTTAAGACTGGAAGGCGCTGAAACACATAGCGAGATACTTAAAAGGCATTGTGCATTACAGGTTGAAGCTTACTAGCCAAAAATCTGGAGGTCTTGAAATTTATGCCTACGCCAGTTTTGGCAGTGATGCAATTGATGGCAAAAGCACTTCAGGTGTGCGCTACTTGTATAATCAATGCCTTTTTGATTGATCTTGTAGGAAGCAGGTGACAGTAGGCATGAGTTCTTGGGAAGCAGAACTTAATGCTTTAACTCTTTCCCTCATGGACATAGAGTGGTTATTACAACTGTATGAGGATGTAAAAGTGAAAGTTACTTGTCCTATTCAGGTCTATCAGGACAATAAAGCTTGTATAGCTTTGCTCCACTCTGAAGGATGCAAACAGAGAACAAAGTATCTACAAATTAAGCTTCAATGAGCTAGAGAATGCATCCAGAAAGGAATTGTGAAAGTGTCCTATATGCCAGGGAAAGAAATACCTGCCGATGCACTAACCAAAGTTGTTAACAGGGAACAACTCACTGTATATGTACATAAATTGCAAATGTGTTAGATTCTGCAATGGTTGGTATAAAAAGGGGGAGATTGTTTATATTTTCACCCCCACCCATTGCAAGAATATCCTGATCTGATGTTTTGAGAAAGGAGGGGGCGGAAACTGCTCTTCTCGTCTTCCGCTCCTGCCTGACTGCCTGACTCTGTGTGTGGAGAGAGTCTTATCTATGTAGTGACCAGATGGCTGAGTGGGAGATGTAACACTCATGCAAGCCAGTAGTTCTTTAGTTTGCAGTAGCTGTTAGAAATAAAAGGAGCTATGCTTCACAGCTAGCTTCTGCATTATTTATACTCTGCTGAGTCTGGTGCTCACAATGCACAGTTGTGGGTCCAGTGCACTGGGACCTGTTTTCCAGGATTGGAAGGTCTCTGAAAGTGCTCCAGTCGCCTAGCCCAGTTGGGACAGAACCAGTTATTGAGCCCAGTCACTGACATCGATTGAAAGGCGTACTGACAATTTCTTCCAGACTCTATACAAATTCTTCCTGATAACATGATTAAAAAAACTCATATATTTTAGGTTTCCCGTACTAAAGACATGCATGCCAGCCAAATTTAAAATCATGACCTTCCAGATCTAAGATGTGAGTGTTTTGCAATAAAATGTGTTGATCTATTTCAATTGCTTTCCCACCCCCCTTTGCTTTGCAGAAATTCTTTTTCTTTTCTTTTTTTAATATATATTTTATTGATTTTCCATTTTTAACATTCACATAACATCTTATTCCCTTTTACATAACTTTTGGCTCTGCAGAGCCACTTGACTTCCCTCCATCTCGTCATCTGGTTTTCACATGCTTACATCGTATTTCTGCACATTTATATCGTCACAATTCTACATTTATTCCAATATATTTTTAAACTTTAATCAAATGTAAAAAAAAAAATCTTCTAATAAACATTGCAAGATTTATTGCAGTCCTGCTAGTGTTTTTATGTATTGAATGAATTTACTTCATTCTCTCTGGAACGTTTAATCGCTCTGGTTTCGGATTTTCCCCTTCAGCTTTGCTAATTCTGCATAGTCCATCATCTTTGTCTGCCATTCCTCTACCGCTGGTAGTTCTTGCTGTTTCCACTTTTGGGCTAATAAAGTTCTGGCTGCCGTAATGTCATACATAAATAGCCTCTGGTCTATTTTTGGTATTTCCCCTCCTATTATACCCAACAAGAACGCTTCTGGTTTTTTTTTTTGGAAAAGTATACTAAAACATTTTTTAAAACTCATTATAGATGTTTCCCCAAAATAATTTGACTTTATTGCATGTTTACCACATATGATAAAAATCTCCGTCTTTAACATTACATTCCCAGCAATTCTTATTTCTCATTCTATACATTTTAGCTAATTTAGTCGGGGTTAGATACCATCTATACATCATTTTCATTATATTTTCTTTCAATGCCGTACATGCAATAAAGTTATTTCCTTCATTCCATAACTTTGACCAGGATTCAAATTGTATATTATACCCAAAATCTTTTGCCCATTTTATCATTACCTCTTTTACCTCTTCGTCTTTTGTGTGCCATTCTAGTAATAAAGTGTACATTTTTGATAATATTTTACTTTTACCTCCCAACAATTCGGTTTCTAGCTTTGATCTTGTAATATCAAAGCCATTTTTCCTTTTTTTCTTTGTTGAATACCCCTGTGTGTCATCTACCGTATTTTTCTCTCTATAAGACGCACCAGGCCATAAGACGCACCTAGTTTTTGGAGGAGAAAAACAAGAAAAAAAATATTCTGAATCCCAGAAGCCAGAACAGCAAGAGGAATCGCTGCGCAATTTATTATAAAAATAATAAATTGTTGTTGTTGTTGCTGTTGTTATTCTGTGACATATATGAAAACAGATGAATAAAGGAATAAGTAGAGATAACTGGGATATGCAAGGAAATATGTAAATAAATTTAAGGAACCATATAAAGAGAGGGAGGGAAGTCGAGGTTTGAAATGTGATAATTATAGTTGAAATGTTTATTTGTTATAAATGAAAATTATAAATATTTCTTTAAAAAACAAACAAAAAACCCTGCAGAGTCAAAGGAAAGGAGGACTTTTTCTGTCTCCACACTTCCAGCTACTCTCTGAAGACTGGAGAAGAGACCCTCTTTAGAATATTAGGGCAGTGCGCAGGGGAAGGACTAGACCAGTGTTCCCCAACCTTGGGCCTCCAGCTGTTTTTGGACTACAACTCCCATCATCCCGCGCTAGCAAGACCAGTGGTCAAGGATGATGGGAATTGTAGTCCAAAAACAGCTGGAGGCCCAAGGTTGGGGAACACTGGACTAGACCATATGAAAAATGAGCATGATATTTTAGTTCATTCATTTTCAGCTTTGTATTCTTGTTATAAAAAAGCATGCCTAGACATTCCGTTGTGCCCATAACCTAGGTTTTAGGTGCCATTTAGCTCCTAGCTTTCATAACTCAGTTTCTAACTCTGATCTTGACTACCAAGATGGCGTTAGCAAAGCTTCTGAAACAGTTCAACTTTGGTTCAACACACTCTACCACCAACACAGCTTAGGACCAGGACACCTGAAAGATTGTCTCACCCCCATCAATTACGGTGGTTTGAAGGTGAGGGCCTCCTGCAGATACCATCTTAAAGAGCTGGTCTGTTTCACACAATACAAGAATTAGGACTTTTGAACTTTTAAATCTTAGACAGATGCTCTCTCTGTTATCTTTTTGGTACCTACAGAAGACCTATCACTTCCAGCAAGCCTTTTAAATTGAGATCTTTCACAGCTTGCATCTGTATTGGGATTGTTTTTAAGATTTTTGTTTTTATTGTTTTGTTTCTTCTTGTTTGCCGTCCTGAGCTCTTTTGGGAGGAAGGGTGCGATATAAATTCAATAAAACAAACAAACAAATGCTGCCACATCCCCACCTGCTGTCCAGGTGTTACACTAGCATATGAACGATATTAAGAAAATTGGATGACACGAGGTAAAAAAGTTGAATCACTTGATGTGGAATGACCCCAAAAAGAAGCATTCTGGGGGTGTGGTGGGGGCAGGATGGTTCAGGAGACTTGCCCCTATTCCAAATCCCATTCAGCTCAGTTATGTGACCTCACAACCCAGTGGTACTTACACTAGCAAAAAGGGTAGTGTTGAATCAAACTTCCCTGGGGATCCTGGAGGGCAGTCACTTAGACTTGGATTGTCCCTCCCACTGGCTGGTCAAGGAAGGTCCAAATCACAGATCCTCCCTAGGAAAGGGGCCACCCCACTCTCTCCAGACTGACCCTGCCTCGTGACAGGGAGATTTGGGTCCTAGGGAACTCTGAGCAAGCTTTCCCCTTCAATCAAATTATTTTAAAGGGTCATTTGCCCGCTGCCAGACTTGAGTGAGCTCAGCTGGCAGTAGCCCTGCTTCTGTATGGAGTTTGGATTTACACCAAAATTTGCACCAGCATAATTTACTCTGGTTGGCTTCCTGTAGTTTGGATTGTTCTGTAAAGCATTAATGACAGTGCAGACACATGTTTCTTCGGCACACATGTGCGCCAAAGGCAGGACCTATGCCAGCATATCTGGATATCCTGGATGTTGTTTGCATTTTAACTGGAAGCAGGTGCCAGTTTTATATCATAGTGTAAGGTTCCCCTTCTTAGTGTAATGGCTCCCCTTCTTTTGCCAAGGGCAGACTTTCCCAGCCAGTCAACCTTCAGATGTTGCTGGACTACAATTCCCAGGAGTCCCAGCCAGCTGTAGTCCAACAGCATCTGGAGGGCACCACATTGACTATCCCAAGTATGGACAGTACTGAGCTAGGTGGACCTGTGGGCTGACTCTGAATAAGGCAGTTTCCTGTGTTTTTGGATTTCACATTATATTTCATTCCAACTGGGAAAAGGTGTGGGAAGGTGTTGTACCCACACAACTCTTGGTATGACAGGGCACCCACTTAAGTAGCCAGAGGTCGGAGTAGAGCAGTAAGGAGAGTTTTGTAATGATGATTTATTACTCGAACCTTCCTTCACTTAAATGCAGGTATGGCCCCAAAGTTATGGAGAAAATTCTCCATATGGCCGAAGGGATTGACATTGGCAAGATGCCATCATTTGAATTAGTGCCTGATGCCAAGGCTACCAAAAGGCCATATTCCCTGCTGGACAACTCTCCATCTTGCAGTGAGTACTTCCATTTCCCCTCATTTGCAGCAGAGTTGGTTCTTTAATGATGATTATTGTATGTCACAGTAATAGGCAATGTCATGTATGAAAATATAAAGGGTTGTATCTAATGTTCTGCATCCTCTTGTGCTAGCAGACAGGTGAGTTTTAATGCTATGCAACATAGGAATCCAATGCAACAGTTGCACTAGCACAGTGATCTTCAACCAGTCCAGACCCAAGACCCACCTCTGACTCCCAACCAGGAACCTGGGACCCACTCTTAGATTTTCACTTTGATTTATACTTAATCATGCTAGCATCTCACCACGCAACGCACACTGAGGTGTAGGCATACTATTCTTTTTAATACACATTGGTCAAACTTTTGAACCTTATATCCTCTCTCTGATTTCTGGCTTTTCTCTCTTCAGTGAAGCCTGTGGTTGATACTGACCAAGACAGCAAGGCTTCATCACCAATTATGTTTGTACTTTGTTACCAAAAAAGACTTTGCCACTTTCTTGTTTTCCATAATTTTTACCACATCCTTCCTTTCTCTGTCACCTGCTGGTGCCTTTTTCTATGTCTACCTTCTTGCACTTTTTGTCCTCCATCACCTGTCTTGCAGTTGTTGTAGTAGTAGTTGTTGTTAATTAAATTTCTATACTGCCCTTCATCAGAGATTCACAGGGTGGTTTGCAATATGCAGTAGTTGTAGTTCCAAAACAAAAAGGGCTATTTTTTTATTTTCGTTTACAAAGTCTTGCCACGTTACAAATCTTTTAAAAAAGAAACTAAATAAAACTGATTTTCATTCCAAATCAACACAGAAATGTTAAAGTTGCAGTCCTGTGTGTGCTTACGTGAGTGTAAGTCCCATTAAAATAAATGGACCTTCTGAGTAGTCATCCATAGGATCTGAGTATTCATTTAATTGAGATTAACTAAGGGTCTCCATCGCTGGGAAGCTAAGTCTACTCTCCCTTTCCTAGTTGTTTTCCTTTTTATGCCCTCTCATTGTGTTAACTTACTTGAAATCAAATGTACAGGAGGGGACTTCCGCTTTTACCACAGCTGCAACAGTGTGAGTTCTGACTGCAGTAAGCAGGTCGGAGCATACACCGGTACTGTGAGGGGCAACGTTTGGCTAAACGACCCCTGAAAAGGCTTGGAAGGAAGCTCAAGTCAAAGGAACTTCGGCAGTGTCTCTTTGGAGTCCCGGCACCCCTTGCTGAAGAAAAAACGGCTGAGGTGGGGGGGGGGGGGAATCCAGGCACAGAGAAGAACGTCAAACAGACCAGTGAAAAGCCTCACATCACTGAAGCAGCGACAAGATGGTAAAATCTCTATTTCTATATTAAAATAAACGTAAAGTGGTAGCAGCAGTAACAAAACCTAAAAGGAAATAAGACAAGGGGGGGAAAGGGAACTCAGGGGGGGAAATCCCTCACAGAGTGAGTAAACCCAAAACAACCCAAAACAAGATAAAGAGTAAAAATAGCGGAGGAGAAGTAATGCTACCACAAAAGTAAAGGGAAGACAGAAGAACGGAAAAAAATATGGAGAAAGTGTAAAGAAATCACTCAGATTGCAATTAAACTATTTGAAAAGCACACTATCTGAAACGGACTTACTACAAAGTGCAAAGCGGTGCAGGCTGCCTGTTGTTGGAGCTGGGTGGAGTAGAGCAGCTGCTTTGAAACTGAATGTCCTTGAAGGAAAGATAAGGACAAAGGAATAAGGAACGCTGTGGGGGAAAGGAGGGGAATTTCACAGATAAGATAAGATGGCGTCGAAGGTCTGAAGACGCTGAGTAATCATCAAGAAGGAGGAAGAAGGAGGAAGTGATGAAGACAAAATAGTGAAAGAGAGGATTAAAGGAGGGCAGAAGCTGGCAAGTTGAGTAAATAAGAACACAGTGACACCCAGTGGACAAAGTAGGAAAAGCAGTAATAAAGGAAAATTGGAGCAATAGAAGGACATCTGGTGGTTGAAAATGAGAACGCAAAATGTCTCATGCAATTAAAAAACAGACTGGAACTGGAAGTCAACAGCAACAATTAAGAAGAAACTCAGGCCTTGAAGAAATGGATGTGAGGGAGCTTATTATTAGTTTGAAATTGGATGTGGGAGGATTGAGAAAAGAGCTGGAAGAAAAAATCAATACAATTGATGGGAAATTAGAAAAATTAGAAAACACAGTGGAAAAAAATGAAAAAGAAAATGAAGAAATAAAGGAAAAATTAACAGAAGTCTTAGAAGGAATGAAGGAGACAGATAAGAAAGTACAAGAAATTAAGAATAAGAATCAACAAATGGATGAGATGGTGAAGAAAATTAGCAAAGAACAAAGGGAACAAAGAAGAGAAATGGACAAATTGAAAAAGGAGATGGAGGAACAAAAAGCAGTCCAGGAAGCTACTGATGATGCGCTAGCAATGATACAGATGCAGATTAAAGAGAAGACCTTGAGATTCAGAAATGTTCCAGAAGAGGAGAAGGAGGATATTTGGAAGAAGATGACTGAAACTTTAGCAAAGTGGCTACATCTACAGGAAAAATACATAATAGAACAGACAGAGAAAATCTTCAGAGTGAACTCAAGAAAAGCAAAAATGAACAAATGGCCGGCAGACTGCATCATTGTATTCACATCGAATTGGATGAAAGATAAGATCCTCCAAGTAAAGAGTAAGAACAAATTAACCATAGATGGACAGGAAATAATAATTTTACGAGAAGTCCCACCTAGGCTGTTAAAAAAGAGACAGCAATTCCAATTTCTAACAAAAGCACTAAGGGCCAAATCAATATCCTTCAGATGGGAATACCCAGTGGGGATTTCCTTCAACTTCAAAGGAAAAAGACGATTTGAGACATTTGAGGAAGCAGATATGTTTTGGAGGAAGTATCGAGGAGAATTAGGAGGCGGGAAAAGCGAAGTAAGAAATGAGGAAGGAAGAAAGGGAGAGCTATCGAATGAGGCGGAAGAAGAAGAAAGAGCTCAGCAAAGGGTGGAAGGATAAAGAACTACGCCAGTGGTAAAGAATCAGACCAATAACTATTACAAAACCCTTCTCCTTTACCACTGCAGATAATTTAAACTCTTTCCACTAACTTTATAATTTTTTAACTAATATAAAATGAAATTTAAATTGTTATCTTGGAACATAAATGGTTTAAATAATAGGAGGAAGAGGCAGAAAATAGAACGTGTCTTAGAGAGGCAGAAGTGGGACCTTGTTTGTTTACAAGAAACCCACATCAGTACTAAGCATAAAAGACTATTGGTTAAACCAAAGTTAGGGGAAGAATTCATCGCATCTGATGTAAGAAAAAAGAGGGGGGGTTGGAATGTATGTTAAAAGCAAATATGAACCAGAATTGCTATATGAAGTTAAAGAGGGGAGGATTGTAATAGTCAAAATATCACTAGAGGGGGAACCAATTGTGGTAGCGGGAATCTATGGATCAAATAAAAGAAAATCAGAATTCTATGTTAAAGTAAGATCATTATTAATGGAATATATAGATATGAGAATTATTGTGTTAGGGGATTTAAATGGAGTAATGGAACCAGAATTGGATAGATCGCAGAAGAAGAGGGGGGGAAATGAAGGGAAGTTGCCAAAAAGCTTTATGGAAATGGTAAAGATTTTTGATTTAGTGGATATATGGAGATATAAATATCCTGTCGAAAAGGAGTTCACATATTTCTCAGAACCAAAAACTTTGTATAGTCGAATTGACAGTATATGGATTACTAAGGATATGACAATTGAAGCAGAGAATGCCAAAATATTACCAAAAACACTTACAGATCACAATCCAGTATCATTAACTCTTAAAGGAAAAGAGGAGAAAGGGGGAAAAGGTGGAGAATGAATGTTTTCTTATTAAAAAATGAAAAAGTAATACAAGGAGCCAGAAAGTTGATGAAGGAATATTTTGAAAACAATTGGAGGAAAGGGACAGATGTTAAAACAGTGTGGGATGCTGGGAAGGCAGTTGTTAGGGGATATTTCATACAACAAAACTCAATAGCATATAAGAATAAAGAAAAAAAGAAAAGGGAACTTTTAGAAGAAATTAAAAGGAAGGAAAAATTGGCCTATGCAAGCAAAAATAAAGAGAGATTAAATCAAGAAATTAAATTACTGAGAATAGAATATAATAATATTATAGAACAGGAGGTAGAACAACAAATCAAATTTTGGAAATATAAAAATTTTGAATGGGCAAATAAACCAGGCAAGATCCTTGCCTGGCAATTAAAAAAACAAAGAAATGAAAAATTAATAAATAAAATAAAAGTAGAAGAGAGGACAATAAGGGATATGACACAATTAAAAAAGAATTTGAAAAATATTACAAAAAATTATATCAAAAAGATGAAGTGCCAATAGAAGAAATAGAGGAATATATAAAGAAAAATAAATTAATAGAGATAGCAGAAGAAGACCATAAATTATTAAATGAACCAATATCAACCGTAGAAATTAAGGAATCCATTCAAAAATTAAAAATAGGGAAATCCCCAGGTCCAGATGGCATACCAGCAGAATACTACAAAGAAATGTTAAATGAATTAATCGACCCACTAAAAGAAGTAATAGAGGAAGCAGTAGAAAAGGGGAATATTCCAGACTCTTGGACTCAAGCGTATATAACGCTCCTGCCAAAACAAGGTACGGATTTGGAATCTGTCTCAAATTATAGACCCATTTCATTATTAAATTCGGATTATAAAATTTACGCAGGATTATTGTCTAACAGGTTGAAAAAAATTATAGGAAAAATAGTACATAAAAATCAGGCTGGATTTGTGGAAGGTAGACAGATACAGGATAATATTAGAAATATAATAGACATAATGGAATATCTACAAATAAGTAGAGATAAACAAGCAGCCCTGATTTCAATCGATGCGGAGAAGGCTTTCGATAAAATCTCATGGGAATTTATGAAAAAACTATTAAAAGAATTGTGTCTAGGTGAAAAATTCCAAAAAGGTATAAATGCAATATATGACCAACAGAAAGCAAAAATTATAATTAATGGAGAGTTTGGAGAAGAAATCAACATCTTTAAAGGTACAAGACAAGGATGCCCCCTATCCCCAATGTTATTTATAATAGTATTAGAGGTTCTATTAAAGAAAATAAGGCAGGACAACCAAATAAGAGGAATAGCAGTTGGTGAAAAAGATACAAGTTAAGAGCCTTTGCAGATGATGTTATGATCACAACAGAAAATCCCCTACAATGTATACCTAGAATATTGGAATGCATAAACGAATATGGCAGATTAGCAGGATTCAAATTAAACTATGGGAAAACCAAAATACTAGTGAAAAATATGGAAGAAAAAGATAAAGTGAAATTACAAGAAATTACAGGATTGGAAATTAAAAAAGAAAATAAGATATCTTGGAATAAATTTAACAACAAACACTATAGATTTAAGTAATGAGAACTATGGGAAAACATGGAATGAAATAAAAAATGACTTGCAAGTATGGGGGAAATTAAATCTTTCCTTACTAGGGAAAATATCGGTAATAAAGATGAACATATTACCAAGGATGATGTTTTTTATTTCAAAGTACCCCAATACTAGGAGGAGATAAATGTTTTAATAACTGGAAAAGAGATTTGGCTAAATTCGTATGGTCAGGGAAAAAGCCAAGAATAAAACACAAAATAATGATAGCTAAGAAGAAGAGAGGAGGATTTGGTCTCCCAGACATGGAGTTATATCATGATGCGGTGGGTCTGACCTGGCTAAGAGAACGGATCAAATTAGATGACTCGGATGTATTGGATTTAGAAGGAGTAGAGACGAGATTTGGATGCAATGCCTATCTAATAGATGAAAAAGTCAAAGTACATAAAGGCTTCCTAGGGCATATAGTCAGAAAGTCTATATATAAAACATGGGAGAAACATAAAAGACTCCTAGAACCAAAAACTCCCTGGTGGGCATCGCCAGCAGAAATTGTCGCAGTGAAAAAATTAAATATGAAAGAAAATTGGGTTACCTATAAAACTGTATTAAAGGAAGAAAACGGAGAATTGGAACTAAAGGATTATACAGAAATTAAAGCTCATATTAGTGACTGGTTCCAATATATTCAAATTAAGTATAGATTAGCGAAAGACAAAAAGTTAGGATTTGAAAAAGAAATATCAAAATTCGATAAATATTTAATACAAGAAAAATAAAAAATATATCTAAATTGTATAATCTGATCTTAGAGTGGGAAACAAAGGATGAATTGGTTAAAGCATCAATGATTAAATGGGCGCAAGATATTGGAAAAAATATTATGTTTGAACAATGGGAAAAATTGTGGAAAGAAGATATGAAATTCACTGTGTTATATACTGAAAGAAAATTACCTCAAAATACAACATAGATGGTATTTAACACCTGAAAGAATAACAAAAATGAATAAAAATTGTAGCGATGTCTGCCGGCGATGCAACACTGGAAAAGGTACTATGATACATATATGGTGGAATTGTTTAAACATCAAACAATTTTGGGAAATAATATATAACGAAATGAAAAAAATGTTTAGATATTCATTTAGGAAAACACCAGAAGGTTTTCTGTTGGGAATAGTACCAGGAAGCCTAAAGTATATTCATACGCAACAGTAGCCGCAAGGCTATTGATTGCGAAAAACTGGAAAAGTGGTATTGTACCGACAAAAATAGAGTGGCTTGCCAAATTATTGGAGTACTACAATATATCCAAAACAATGGGAGAAATTGGAAGGCTCTCAAAAGAGTAGATAGCTAGGGACTGGAAGGTGTTTAAAAGATACTTGCAAAACCATATCGAAAAATCAGAACTCCTATTAGAATAAACAAGTTCTGTTTGAAATACTGAATAAGATGGATAACTATGTGTAATAGAAAAAGAAGTATGAAATTAGGCTAAAGGTGTGTGAAAGAAAGTAATAGAAGTGGAAAGAAATTGCAATTGAGTAGATTGGAAGTCTAACACACAGGTGGGGTGAGGGGTAAGGGATGGTGGTGGGAAAAGGAATTATTGGTGGGATTGAGTGTAAGTATGTTTGAACACTTTTAAGGATTGTATGAAATGTATGTTTGTATGCTTGTATATCTGTAATATATGTGTATTAATGATGAACTATTTTAACAATAAAAAAATCAAATGTACAGAAAATAAATCTGAAAACGTTTTACTACCTTCAGAACTCAATATAGGCAGCAATTGTTTGCTGCTGTCCTAAGCCCACTTAATTTGGAGTAAGTCCTATTCACATTAATGGATCTTACTTCTGAGTAAGTGTTATGGGCAGGCAGCAATCAGCCCTGAGCAAACAGAATGGCTGCCTGGCTGCCTAGCCAGTGTGTAACCAAGCATTACACTGCAGTCAAACCCATTTAAAGTACTGGTTTTGACTTATAAAGTCTTAAAAGGGTCAGGACGTCAATATCTCAAGGACTGCCTCTCCCCATATGAACCTACCTGGACCCTGCAATCTGCGGCTTTTCTTCGTGTGCCTTCTCCACAATGGGTGGGAACATACATATACATTACAGCATATATAAAAACATACTGAAACATCAAACATTAAAAACTTCCTAATACAGGGCTGCCTTCAGATGTCTTCTAAAAGTTAATGTACAGTGGTGCCTCGCAAGACGAAATTAATCCGTTCCGCGAGTGTCTTCGTCTAGCGGTTTTTTCGTCTTGCGAAGCAACCCTATTAGCGGTTTAGCGGATTAGCGCTATTAGTGGTTTAGCGGCTATTAAAGGCTTAGCGGCTTAGCTGCTAAAAGGCTATTAGCGGCTTAGAAAAAGGGGGGGGAGAAGCGAAAAAAAAATCTCAAGACTCGCAAGACATTTTCGTCTTGCGAAGCAAGCCCATAGGGAAATTCGTCCTGCGAAGCAACTCAAAAACGGAAAACCCTTTCGTCTAGCAGGTTTTCCGTCTTGCGAGGCATTCGTCTTGCGGGGCACCACTGTAGTTATTTATTTGACATTTGAAGAGAGGGTGTTCCACAGGGAGGGTGTCACTATCGAGAAGGCCCTCTGCCTGGTTCCCTGTTCCCTGTTACTTTGCTTCTTGCAGTGAGGGAACCAGCAGAAGACCCTTGGAGGAGGACCTCAGTGTCCAGGCTGAACAATGGGGATGGAGGCACTCCTTCAGGTATACTGGGCCAAGGCTGTTTACTGTAAATGAGTTTAGTATCTCATTTACACTTCTGCAAATTTTTGTTCAATTTTATGAACAAGTTTTCTATCTGCAGTCATGCTTGTAATGGATGTGACATGATTTGCACTTAGGTGTTTTGTTGATGCTTTATTAAAAATCTCAGGTAAGTACAGGTAAGTGTAATTTTTTTCATACAGCAGGATTGATAAAATTTTCAATGTGAACTGTTTGCAAAGGAAATGATTTCTAATAATTTAAAAAATGCTTGTTTTTTCTATAACGGATGTGGCACTGTTACGTAACGGATATGACAAGCAATATACCAGTTTTCACCTTTTATTATTACTCAAGCAATCAATATTCATTGTAAAACAAGAGATAAGTTATCATTAAACAAAAACTGAGTAAAAGTTGCATTAAACACTGACAAAAATATGAACCATAAAATATTGTCTGATGTAAGCTAACGAGTGAGGAATTTTTTTATTATTTCAAAATCATTTATCTTAAACATATAATTACATTTATTTTAAACTTAGTGTGAATGGAAGCAGTTCTTCTGGTGGCCTTGGATCATCATTTGATGAACTACCATCTTCAGAAGGGTCACTGTACATATGTTCATTAGTCCTAGATGTCTCGTTAAGTGTGATGCTAACTTGTGGCACTTCAGCATTTGCTGTTTTGCTAACCAGTATATGATTTTCATCGTAGGGTTGAAAGTGGTGGGATGTTTGGATGCCAGTCACGTTGGTGACATTATTCCACCTCTCATCAATAAATGGTGTGTCTGACTTCACTTTCTTTTGAGTAACAAACAAGATGTGCTTCTGTCAACTTTAAATTGTAGAAGTATTATTAAGGGGGAAACGAACATTGGGGGGGGGAAACAAAGTTACAAGTCCTCATGCCTGCAGAGAAAAGCTATATTTCACCAATGTTTTTAATTTTTTTCTATTAAAAATTATCTTTTAACTTCTTGCATTGCACAGGTGTTGAACCTCTGAGAAAGCAGCCACCGAAATTCTGGGTCAGGCCTCGTTTTGAACCCATACACTTTGTAGCTAGCAACACTCAAGATGGAGGAATGGAGCCACCTTCAGAGAACCAAGTGCAGGTGGCCAGTGAGAACATCACAACCCAGCAAATACAAAACTATGCCGATCAGGTTTTCAGCAGCTTCAACATGCTGGATGGGGGCACTCATTGTTCCAGTTCAATGAGTTTAGGTTATGGAAGTAGCCAGGCTAGCCAGACACAAGCCAAAGTAGTTTCTAAAAGCAAAGACTCTTCTGGTAGTGGTGTTGCAGCGGTTTCGGTGGGGGCTTCTCTTCTCCAGGCCACCTCTGAAATGTTTCCCAAGTCAGTTCTAACAGCCAAGCAGTGTTTCATTAACAAACTTGTAATGGCAGTCCACAAGAGTCTTGCTAGCTTTGATGTTAGCAGTGGGACAGACAAAATTAACTACACTTACCTCTTGACACGGTCCATACAGGCTTGCAAGACAAACCCTGAGTATACTTATTCTCCCTTGAAAGATCTTTCCCCTGGGGATTTTCCCAAAAACAAGAAGCTCCTAAAAGATGGCTTTGCTTGTGAGGTGAGGTGCCAGAATGTGTATCTGACCACAGGGTATGCTGGCAGCAAAAACGGATCCAGGGACCGAGCAACGGAACTAGCAGTGATGCTGCTGCAAAAGCCCGTGGAGGTTAAAGTTGCCCAGCGGAAGTTCAAGAACACCACCCAGGAGGATTTAGTGCTGTGTGAGAGTGGCACATCTCCCCTTGAATTCCCGCCAGCTCTCAAGCAGCTAGATGACTTTATTGCTGCCATGAAAGAATGCACACCTGGGCAGCCAACCACCAACACACAGCAGGGTCCCAGTTCAGCCAAACATTGGACTAACTTTGTTCTCACAGAAAACGCCAGTGATGCCATTGGGATTCTGAACAATTCAGCTTCTTTTAACAAAATGACCATTGAATACAAATATGTCCTGATGCCAAACCGCTTGTGGCACTGCAGTGTCTATCTACAGGACCACTTTTTAGCTGAAGGGTATGGCACAAAGAAAACCAGCAAGCATGCTGCGGCGGACGAGGCACTGAAAATTCTCCAGAAGACCCAGTCCAATGCTGGGGTCACCAAAGCAGTCCATGTTCAGAAAGTTGGTGAGGCTGCCCGAGATTCTGCCAAGAAGAAGGATCTGAAGGACCTTGTTGTATATGAGAACTCCATGAACCCTGTGTGCACGCTGAATGACACAGCTCAGTTCAACAAGATGACTGTGGAGTATGTCTTTGAAAGGATGACAGGGATGCGGTGGAAGTGCAAGGTATTGCTGGAAAATGAATTAATAGCTGAATCAATTGGCGTCAAGAAGACTGTCAAGCATGTTGCAGCTGAAGAGGCTGTCAAAATCCTGAAGAAAACCCAGCCAACAGTTGTCAACAACCTGAAAAAAGGCACTATTGAAGATGTAATATCAAGGAATGAGATCTGTGGGCGATCAGCAGAAGAAGCGTTGAAGCAGCAGATCAAGGAAGATAACATTGGGAATCAGATTTTAAGGAAAATGGGCTGGACGGGTGGCGGCTTGGGCAAAAGTGGAGAAGGGATCCGGGAGCCGATTGCTGTGAAGGAACAGTTCAAAAGGGAAGGGCTTGGGCTGGACATTGAAAGGGAGTTGAAAATCACAAAGAAAGATATTGAACAGATCATCCAAAATTATGCCTTCTCAGACAGTAAAATTGATCTGACTTTCTCGACAGAATTGACCAATGATGAACGCAAACAGATACATCAGATAGCCCAAAAATATGGTCTTAAGAGTAAATCCCATGGCCAGGGTCGTGATAGATACCTGGTGGTTAGCCGAAAGAGGCGCAAAGAAGAATTGCTAGACCAGCTAAAGCAAGATGGCCAAGTCGGACATTATGAACTCATTATGCCACAGGAGAAATAAGCCCTGAGGGCCATCCGTTTCTTCTGAGGATGTCCAAACTGAGGCTGAATTCTCCATTAAACACAGCAAAGGCTGCATATTATGTGAAAAATGATTATAAACTATTTTACTTGCTCATTTAGTTTTTAAGCTTTATTTTAAACACTTTAACTTTTAAAATCATAGTTCTTTCCAAATATATGTAGTGCAATCTGGATAACTTTAGTACAGTTTACCTGTTTTATGCAATTTATTGGAAATGGCTTGTGGTAATGGCAGAAAATCAAGTCAGAAGGAAAGTTCATACACCATTTAAAAATAAAAGCATGAGGACTTCCGGTTGATCGCTACTCATGAACAGACGCATCTCCTCCACTCTCCCGCACTGGGGGAGAACATGTTTGGTAGCGGAGCTAAGAAGGGGGGGACCAAGGCTACGGGAACCCCAAAGTCTTGGGAGGGGATCCAGAGATGAAATGGAATTGCTGTGGTGCAGAGAAGAGGACCCTTGAACGGCAGGGAGAGGGAGAACTTCTCGGGCACTAGATCCAGTGATCCTCTGCTGCCGAGAAGCCCAAGTACGCGGGTATGTAAGAGGCTTTACTTCCGACAGATTGAAGCACACCTAACTGATTAGCCTACACAATCAATGAATTTGCTACCTAGTGATTAATAAATGAATTTATGCAGTACAATGTGCTTAGAAGAAATGAAGGCTTTCCGGAATTTTTTTTTTATTTGACAATGAGCTACAACGGAATGATTTGAGATGAAGGACGTCTACTCCATTAAAAAACCCAAATTATTTGTGCCTTATTATACTGATGCTATGAACACTTTATGAATTTATATAAATATTAGTGGTGCGACAGAGATGCAGAGAGGAACAAACTGAGACAAAAAGAGATAAAGAGACATTCCCAACAAGGGGAAAAAAGAGACCAGCAAGAAGCAGAGAGACTCTGCAGAACATATATAATTTCGTTTCATTTTTATATATCCTCGGTAGCTGACTAGGAAAAAAGGAGACAAAGCAACTAAGAAGAGGTAGTAAGGTCAGGATTCCATCCACCAGGCAACAAAAAATAAGAAGCTGTTTGCAGCCTGTGGTGGTTGCACAAAGATACACTCACGGCTGAGTGGTGGAGCGGCTTATAAAGCCGGAATTTGCCAAACATCTATCCACCCTCTCAAGAGTTACTGTGCAAGGCAGTCCCTATTCCCAGTTTCCTCTTGTTGGTCACTGTGACGTTTAGGCTGGACTGATTGTGTATTTGCTGACTCATGCAGTCCGACATCTTTTTTGCATCGCGAAATGGAAATGAACTGGATCAAGAGACACTGAAAGCTTAAATTGAAAACGTAGACAAGTGAGTGATTTTCCAAGGGCGACATCTATCGAACAAAAATCTGCACCTCACCAACTGAGCTTATTGGAAGAGTGACACCCAGTGGCTGCTCAAGAGTACCACACTGTGCTTTTTCAAACTGAACGTGCTCCTCTGCTGTCTCTATTACTCTATTACCCTTACATACTCCTCACTCTCAACCACATTCCCCACTTGCCTCCATTACCTCTTTCTCAGCTTATTCTATTTATTATAATTCCTTTTCCCCTCCTCCTCTTCTTTCTTTCTATTCCTCTGTGTGTGTGTGAGAGAGAGAGAGAGAGAGAGAGAGAGGGGGTGTTCCCTACTGAGTGCGTGTTATTCTATATATTTGAATGAAAGTCATCTTATGGAGTTACTAAAATGTATTTAATCGAAGCCTAGAATTGATACTAATGTTTAAATTAAGACAGAATCAGTGACTGTAAGATTGGTATTAATTTGAATTATTAGAGAGGGTTGATGGTGTGTTTTTTATTGAAAAATGGTGGAAATCAATTGAAACCCAGGGTGTAATCAATTTTTAAGGTTAATTAGTGAATCAGGGTAATCTATTTTGAATCATTAGGGAAAATTAATAGTAATGAATAATAAAAAGCCTTCACATCCTGGCCCTTCAGTAGTTTCAGCATCTCAAATTAGGAGACGTTCTGCCAATGATCTGGACTCAACGCTAGATATTAGAATTAATTTTAGGCTTAAGATATTGAAGATTTAAAAAACAATGGTGTTTTTTTCAATTTTTTTAATTAATTTTCCAAATTTTTGACAAATACAACATAACACAAAAGGGCAAAACATATAGAAAACAAACATAGAAATTGTCTTCCAGTCCAAATCTAACCTAATATCCATTGTTAGGTGACTTCCTCAGAGCCTTCCTGACTGATTTTCATTAAGACTCATTTTAGCAATTTTCCAGTATACATTTTCTAATATAATTAACTAGTTCAGAATACTAACTTCCTTACTTTTCATCATGTTCTCAAACCATGTTGTTTAGTTGTTTAGTCGTTTAGTCGTGTCCAACTCTTCGTGACCCCATGGACCAGAGCACGCCAGGCACTCCTGTCTTCCACTGCCTCCCACAGTTTGGTCAGACTCATGTTTGTAGCTTCGAAGACACTATCCAACCATCTCGTCCTCTGTCGTTCCCTTCTCCTTGTGCCCTCCATCTTTCCCAACATCAGGGTCTTTTCCAGGGAGTCTGCTCTTCTCATGAGGTGGCCAAAGTATTGGAGTCTCAGCTTCAGGATCTGTCCTTCCAGTGAGCACTCAGGGCTAATTTCCTTAAGAATGGATAGGTTTGATCTTCTTGCAGTCCATGGGACTCTCAAGAGTCTCCTCCAGCACCATAATTCAAAAGCATCAATTCTTCGGCGATCAGCCTTCTTTATGGTCCAGCTCTCACTTCCATACATCACTCAAACCATAATATTATACAATTCCATATCTCTTAATCCTAAGACAATTTAATACTTGCAAATATGTCTACTTATAAAATATTATATTTAGCTAAATAATCCTTAAATTTCTTCCAATCTTCTTGATATTTCTCCTCCCTCTGATCACGGATTCTTCCAGTAAGGTCTGCCAGCTCCAGAAAGTCCAACATTTTCATCTGCCAATCTTCCACCGTAGGTATTTCTTGTGATTTCCAGTTTTTGGCTACTTAAATTCTCACTGCAGTTGTGGCATAGAAAAACAATCTAACATCTTTTTTTGGCAATTCCATTCCTATTATCCCAAGTAGAAAGACTTCTGGTTTCTTAATAAATGTATATTTCAACACTTTTTTCAATTCATTATATATCTTTCCCCAGAAGTCTTTCACCTTTGGGCACGTCCACCACATATGGTAAAAGGTACCTTCTTTTTCTTTACATTTCCAACATAGATTATCACTCATTTGATAAATTTTTGCTAATTTTCCTGGGGTTAAGTACCATCTATACATCATAATATTTTCCTTGAACACGGTACATGCAGTGAACTTTACACCTTTCTTCCACAACTTTTCCTAATCTTCCATCATTATATTATGGCCAAGAACCCTTGCCCAATCTATCATCACAGATTTCACTTGTTCATCCTTTGTATGCCACTCCAACAATAAATTATACATTTTAGACAAATTTTTAACATTAGTATCTAACAACTGTGTTTCCAGTTTGTTTTTTTCCTTTGCAAAACCATTTTTCTTGTCCAACTTAAATAGTTCATTGATCTGGTAATATTGAAGCCAAGATTTAAAAAACAATGTAAATGAGAATGCAAAAATGACAGAAGAAACCTTGTCTCGATGGGGGGTCAAAATTGATGAAAATCACAAAACTATCAATCCAGGTGAAAATTTTGATTCAAAAAAACTCTGAATTAACCAAAACAGTGCAGGACCTTAAGGGAAAAACACAAAATTTAGATGAAGCTCACAAAAAAAAAAAATACAGAATGAAAACTGAGATAAAAAGGGAATGTGATAAAATAAAGAACCAGCAGACTTGAGGGCAATCCAGGAAACAACTTTGGATTCCATAGCAATGCTGCAGATGCAGAGGAGAGAGAATACACTGAGATTTAGAGGCTTACCGGAGAATGCAGAGGAAATAATTGAACAAAAATTTCCTAAAGAACTAGCAGCATGGTTAGAACTGGAGGAATCAGAAGTAATACCAAAAATAGAAAAAGCCTTTAGAGTCAAGTCAAGTGTAGCCAAAGTGAACAACTGGCCGGCAGTTTCCTTTAATTCTATGGACTTTAGAAATAAAGTTCTTCAAACTAGTAACAAGATGAAACTAAATATTGAAGGAAACAACATTATTATTCACAAAATTATCCCAAATTGATTGATAAAAAGAGACAATTATAAACCTCTAGCTGAGGCCTTGAAAGCAAAGGCAGTGGAGTATAGATGGTAGTACCCCGAAGACATCTCCTTTTTCTTCAAAGGTAAACGAAGAAAGTGCCTGTCGGCACTAGAAGAGAGCTTGGAGGAAAGAGACAACTCGGGGGGGGGGGGAGCCAGAGGAATAGGAGTCAATGGCCACAGCAAACAGAAGCTAATCTGGGAATCCAGCTCAGAAATTAAGTAAAAGTTTCTGGTGTATATTGAGAAATTTTGGTTGCGTTGATATTTTCTTTTAAAATTGCTGTATTGTTGGTTGGAAATAAAGTATGGATCTTAAAATTATTACTTGGAACGTGAATGTCCTAAATGAAAAATCAAACAGGAATAAGGTAGAACATATTTTGGTAAAGCAAACATATGATTTTATTTGCCTCCAAGAGACTCATGTTGCGAAAAAACATAAAAGAGTATTAATCAATAAAAGATTAGGACTAGATTTTATTTCATCAAATAAGGAAGAGAGGGGTGCTGATCTATGTAAGACCGCAGTTGGAACCTAAACTGCTTTGAAGAAGGTAGAATAGTGATTGTTGAGGTAAAGAGCAAAACTGAAAAAATAACTGTTATTGGAATATATGCACCAAACGAAAGGAAAGCGGAATTTGATCACTCTCTGGAAGAAAAAGCAGTAGAATACCTTGGGGACAAAATCATTTTACTAGGTGACTTCAATGGAGTAGTCAATCCGGGCATGGACAGAACAGCAATGGAAAAAACCATTGAGACAAGATAAACTCCGAGCCTCCTTCTTTCATTTAATAGACCTCCTGAATTTGAATGATACCTGGAGGTTTAAACATCCAATAGAGAAAGTGTTTACTCATTACTCGGATTCCCAGAAATCAGACAGAAGAATAAACGCAATCTGGGCTTCTAAAGAATTATTGTGTAATATGATAAAAGTTGAAATCCACCCAAGAACAATCTCAGATCACAACCCAGTATGGGCTAAGTTTAAAGAAGAGGAGGAAAGAACTAAAAGATGGTGACTTAATGAGAGCATGCTGAACGATGAAAAGATAGTACAGAAGGCCAAGCAAACTTTAGAAGAATATTTTAAATTTAATTTAAATCAAGGAACGGATATAAAAACGGTTAGGGATGTGAGTAAAGCGATCTTAAGAGGTTTTTTTATCCAACAAAGTGCTTAAAGGTAAAGGTAGCCCTGACCATTAGGTCCAGTCGTATTAGCAGTTTGAAAGCATGTCAAAGTGCAAGTAGATAAATAGGTACTGCTCCAGCGGGAAGGTAAACGGCGTTTCTGTGCGCTGCTCTGGTTTGCCAGAAGCGGCTTAGTTATGCTGGCCACATGACCCGGAAGCTGTATGCCGGCTTCCTCGGCCAATAAAGCAAGATGAGCGCCGAAACCCCAGAGTCGGTCACGACTGGACCTAATGGTCAGGGGTCCCTTTACCTTTTTATTGCAGAATTAAAAGGACAAGTAAATGAAGTGAGGACCAAGACACAGTCTTTGGATGACTCAGTTTTAAAAGTTCAGAAAGAAATCAAGGAGACAAGAGATAGGGACAAAACCAAACAAGAAGTAGCAGAGTTGACAAAACTGCATGAAGAGACCTTGGACACTTGCTATGCTTGAAATGAAGCAAAAGGAATTGAATTTGAGATTCAGAGGTGTGCTGGAACAGGAGGGGGAAGATAGTAAAAGCAGATTAATCATTGAAATTGCAAAATTGTAAAAAATGAAATGAAAATGTGGCATTTACAATTGATAAAATATTTAGAATTAAAATGAAATCGACTAAAGGGGGGGGGGATCTCAGGAGACTGTCTATTTTTTTTCCAATTCTAGAGAAATGGAAGATTTAATTCTAAGGAAAAATCAAGAGAAAAAACTCTGCATAGATGAAAAGATTATCATAATTTATAAAGAAGTCCCCCAAAGATTTAGGAATAAACACCAAGCTTACAAGGACTTGGTTGATGTTCTAAGGAAGAACAAAATTATGTATAAGTGGGAGTTCCCAGAGGGGATCTCCTTTTATAAAGACAAGAAATTCAAAATGAAAAACCCACAGGACATTGCAAAATTTTGGAGGAAGTATGCAAAGGAGCTTGGGGAAAAGCAGAACGAAACACTAGCGCTGGGAGAGGAAGAAGAAAAAGATTTGGATGAAGAAAAAGAAGAATCATAAAAATTAAAAATTATTATTTTAAATTTAAGCAACATCACAATGGGGCTGAAATTTTTAACATGAAATGTGAATGGACTAAATAATAAAGTGAAAAGAAATAAAACTGAACATGTATTAAAAAAGCAAAATTTAGATATAATTTGTTTACAGGAAACTCATGTTGCAAGGAAACATAGAAGAATTCTGACAAATAAGAGATTGGGTAAAGAATTTATTTCATCAGATGTTAATAAAAGTAGAGGTGTAGTTTTGTATATAAGGGAGAATTATGATCCGCAGCAAATCTTCAAGAATGAGGACGGGAGGATAATTGCGGTACAGGTCACATTGCAGGATGAGAAGTTGATTGTAGTAAGAATCTATGCACCTAATGAAGGGGAATCAGAATTTTATAAATCATTAGAGGAGAATTTATTTGAACATATGGACCAAAAAATTATATTGATGGGTGATTTTAACAGGGTGGTCTCAATGGAAATGGACAGGACAGAAATGAAAAGGGATACAAATCAAGGGAGATTACCCAACTCATTCTTTATGTTAGCAGAAAATTATGATTTGATTGATATATGGAGGTTGAAGCACCCATTAGAAAAGCAATTCACTCACTTTACAGAACCAAATTAAAGTTCAGGAAGAATCGAATATATGTGGACTTCCAAGGACTTGACACCAAGAGTTATGAAAGTTGAAGTTCTTCCAAGAACTCTCTCAGCTCATAATTCAATAATTTGGGAGTTGAAAGGTATTGAGGAAACTTCCTTCAGGTGCAGAATGAATGACAGCTTCCTAGATGATCAGGAGGTTACAAAGAAGGCCCTGAAAGCACTTGCAGATTACTTTGAGATAAATTTAAGTAAAGGTACGGACTTGAATACTGTGTAAAGCGGCTATGAGAAGCTTCCTAATACAACAAAATGTTTTTAAAAGGAATATAAGAGAGAAGAAGAAAGGAGATTTTAAAACAAATTATGGAAAGGGGAAAGTAGTTAGCAAAAAACTGGGAATAAAGTTAAGCAGAATATAAAAATGTTGCAAGCCCAATTTTCAATAATGATAAATCAAGAAGTTGAATGGAAGATAAAATTTCTAAAACAAAGGAATTTTGAATTTGCCAATAAACCTGGTAAACTACTAGCGTGCAATTAAAAAAAGAGCAAAGCAAAATACAGTAACTAAATTGAGGAGAAATTAATAGAAAATCAGAGAAATCAGGAAGAATTTCCAAAAAAATATAAAAATTTATATAAAGCAGAGAAATTTAGTAAAGAGAAAATAGAGTACCTTGGGAGAAATGGACTGCAGAAGATTCTGAAAGAAAAGAAAGAACAGTTGAATTGCTTGGTAACCAATGCAGAAGTACAGATGGCTATAAAGCAACTGAAAATTGGAAAAGCTCTGGGACCTGACAGATTTACAGCAAAATATTATAAAGCTTTAACAGAACAACTGACAACCCCTTTAAAGGAAGTAATGAATAATATATTGATAAATGGTAAAGTTCCTGAATCCTGGAAGGAGGCATATATCATACTGATTCCAAAACAAGACACAGATCATTGACAAGTCAAAAATTACAGACCTATATCCTTATTAAACAATGATTACAAACTTTTTACTAGTAACCTTGCAAATAGATTAAAAGATATTTTGATGGATGTGATTTATGAAGACCAGGCTGGTTTTCTTCCTGGCCGGCAGATGAAGGACAATGTAAGAAATATAATAGATATTCTGGAATATCTTGAGGCCAGGAATGATGAACAAGCTGGGTTAGTATTTATTGATGCAGAAAAAAGCATTTGATAATATTTCTTGGAAATTTATGATAAAAAAATTGGAATCGATGAATATGGGCGACTCCTTCCTTAAAGGCATACAAGCTATTTACACTGAGCAAAGAGCAAGACTAATAGTGAATAATGTCTTGACAGATAAGATTTACACAACCAATGGAACTAGGCAGGGGTGTCCGTTGTCACCTTTATTGTTTACTACAGTCCTAGAGATCCTAACAAAGAGGATAAAAATGTGTGGAAAAATAACAGGTATAAGAGTTGGAACTAAGGAATACAAACTTAAAGCCTTTGCAGATGACTTGGTACTGACAGTAGAGGAACCACCAGAAGTTTTAGAAATGATTGATGAATTTGGACAGTTAGCAGGCTTCAAACTGAATAAAGCCAAAACGAAAATGATAGTTAAGAATTTGGATAAAGAAAAGACTGTAGAACTGCAAAGTAAGACAGGAATAACAATTGTAAAGAAGGTGAAGTATTTAGGAATTTGGATGTCAGCAGAAGCTATTAATTTATATAAGGATAATTACATACTGACATGGAATGAGATTAAAAGAGACTTAGAGGTGTGGGCAAGGATGAAACTGTCCCTTTGGGGCAGAATATCCGCAATCAAGATGAATGTTGTACCCAAGAGGCTATTTTTGTTTCAAACAATCCCAGTGACCAGCGGACTGAGACAATTTAAAGATTGACAGAAAGTGCTTTCAAAGTTTATCTGGCAAGGGGAAAAGCCTAGAATTAAATATAAATTACTTACAGATCTTAATGAGAGAGGTGGATTTTCACTGCCAGATTTAAAAATATATTATGAAGCAGCATGCCTTTGTTGGTTACGGGATTGGATTTTGTTAAAAAATACAGATCTTCTAGATTTAGAAGGTCACAACAATAGATTTGGTTGGCACACATATTTGTGGTATGATAAAGTCAAAGTTCATAGAGGTTTTTTAAACCACGTAATAAGAAAGTCTATGAGGTATGGAACAGATATAAGAGTTTGCTGGAAAGAAAAACACCATGGTGGTTTTCACCGTTAGAAGCGATAGCACTTAAGTAAATATGAAAGGAGACTGGGCAACATACAGAGATCTATTGATGAAAGTAGATAATAAATCAAAGCTAAGACCTTATGAGGAGGTTAAAGATCTGATGATAGACTGGTTGCAACACCACCAGGTAGGTAAAGTATTCAGTGAGGACAAGATAGGTAATGGCTTTGAAAAGATGGGATCAAAGCTAGAGACAGAATTGTTGGATGATAAGAAGAAATTATCAATAATGTATAAATTACTATTAGAATGGCACACCAAAGATGATGAAGTTAAAGTGGTTATGATTAAATGGGCAAAAGATTTTGGCTATAATATTCATCTAGAAGACTGGGAAAATTTATGGAAAGAGGGATTTAGCTTTACAGCATGTACTGCATTGAAAGAAAATGTGATGAAAATGATGTATAGATGGTGTATAACACCAACTAAGTTATCTAAAATGCAAAAATGTAAAAATAAGGAATGCTGGAAATGCAAAGTCAAGGAAGGCAACTTTTTCCACATGTGGTGGACTTGTAATAAAGTCAAAATCTTTTGGGATATGATATATAATGAACTGAAGAAAATGTTAAAGGTTACATTTGTAAGGAAACCAAAAGCATTTTTATTAGGAATAATAGGTGAGGAAATACCCAAGAAAGACCAAAAACTGTTTAGGCATGCAACTGATGCAGCAAGAGTTTTACTAGCACAGAGATGGAAACAACAGGACTTACCAACGATCCAGGACTGGTAGACAAAGATGTTGGAATATGCTGAGTTGGCGAAATTGACTGGGAAAATCCGAAACCAGTGGGACAAAACGTTTCACAAAGACTGCAATAAGTTCGTAGAGTATTTGAAAGATAATTGTGAACATCTAACAACACTGATAGGACTATAGTTTATAGAAAGCACCGATTTACAATAAACATTTTGTCATTATCAGAATTGAATAGAGAGTAAAGAGGGGAAATATGAAAAGCAATTGTGCTGCCAAATGCGGCAGTTCTTTCAAAGAATATCAGGACAAAAGGAATGAGGAGGTGGAAGGGGAACCAAAACAGTTTTATTAACAAACAAACAAACATACAAAGCATAACATAAAACATACCCGACAGGGGCCACCCAATCTCTTCAGCTGGACTATCAGAGGTCACAAAGAGAAAGGAAAAATATATGAAAACAACAAGAGATGTGGAAAAATAATAAGGACTGGATAGTACTGTGAACATCATAAGGTTAGATTTGTGGACATTAAAACAGCAGTAAGAAGCAAGAAGTTGATTGGATCCCTTCGGAACTTGAAATATGGGTACCCCCAACAAAAATTTAAAATTCGGCTGTGTAATTTGGAATTTATGTAATTTGGTTTGATTTGATGTGATTGGTCGGTTAATAAAAAATTATTCTTACATCTTATCTTCAGCTGCCCGGAGCCCCCAGGTAGAGCAGCAGGAGAAAGACCCCGACCGTCGGTCTCCCAGCATCAGGTCCTTTGATCTGGGCAGAAGCTCACCGCCCCCCCCCCACCACCTATGGCTTTTATAGTCTGCCTTGATGTAATCAAGTGCACCTGGCATTACTCATGATTAATACAGAGCGGCTGAGAGTCTCCCACTACCTGCAGCCGGCATCCAGCCAGTACTTGCAACACAGAAGAACCCAATAAACTCCTGACAGGTGTGTGAAACACAAGAATCCAACTGGGGATGTTAAAGGGAAAGGGACATACCACCTAACCCCTCAAAATACAGTTGTCTTCCGCATTTCCACTACATTCCACCCCGTGGCATGTTCCATTTCCTTTACATCCTTGGTTTCATTTGGGTGACAGTGTTCCACTTCTTCTGGACATCGTTCTTATCCCCTTGCCCCGTTCTGTTCATGCGCTTGTCCTGGGTGCCTGGGAGCCATTGTCTTTGGGAGAAGATCGGTTGTTCATCATTAAAGGCTTGTGCATGTTCGTGTGGGATACTTAAGAGATCCTAAATGAAAGAAACAAAATTAATACCAACTAATAAACATTTAAGGTAACTCTGAAAATGAGTTTTATCATTCTGTTTGCTTCAGTTTAGCATAATCCAAACAAATTGGAGCGCTGGCTTGGGATAGCAGCACCCAATAGGTGGTCCTCGGGCCCTTACCAATTATTTCCCCTGGTTGGTCAGACCGGTTGGGATACACCACCCATACTTTTTGTCCTGCCATGAAATCTGAATCTGTTGATTCAGACTCTTTGCTACCTTTGTTTGTAGGCTGGTTTGGACCGGCTACTCCCTGGATAGTTGGTATCCTTATTCTTCACAGATAAGTTGAGCTATTCGCTGTCCTGTGGGGAGAATCACATATTGCACACCAATATTATGCAGTAGTACTTTTATTTCATCTTGGTAACCAGTATCCACCATCCCTCCTAGTATCTGGATGCCCTTGAGGGCCAGCTCCAACCGTGGTGCAATTCGCCCATACGTACCAGGAGGCACTGCAATCCCTATGCCTAAGGATACTGTTACCTGCCCTCCAGCTGGTACCACTACTTCCTCAGGCGTGATGAGATCTGCTCCTGCACTATCAGGCATTGCCCGGAGGGGTAGCTTACCGTATGGCTGAACCTTCCATACCTTGAGGTGGGTTACTGGTAAGAATACTCCTTGTGAGCTCATTCGCTGCAAAGTCCAGCACACAGAGGACGACTGTTCAAATTCAGCTTGCTCAAATACCTTCCCCCACCCCTTTAACGTGTGGGTAGGTGTTAGCTGCTTAATTTTTATGGGGGCACCTCCATCGCTGGGGATTCTCTTAGGATTGATGGCTGCAGCGCACCACACTCTCTCATTTCCTTGGTATCCAGCCGACCCATCTGTGAAATGGACTTTATCCAGTTTGACCACAGAATTCTCTTGCACCTCCTCCCCTGTAGGTGTCAGTGCTAGACCTGCTCCTGCAGTGCACTGACTCCCTTAGGCCCTACCCTTGCTCTGTAGGCAATGTACCACTTCCACTTAACAATTGAGGACTGCTGAGCCCGTCCTACTCTCGGACTAACAGATTCATCCTGAACCCATGCCATGATTGGAATGGCAGGTCTTAACATTACTGGGTCTTGCCCAGTTAAGCGCTCAGTGTCTACCAAGGCCCAGTAACAGGCAAGAAGCTGTTTTTCAAATGGAGTGTATGATGCAGTGGGCAATTTCCTTGACCAGAACCATAGAGGAATCTGCTTCCCTTTCTGACCCCCTTTGCCATAAACTCCAGACAGCAATTTCCTTATCTGTTGACACTTGCAATTCAAAAGGTTGCCCTTTTTCATAGGGTCCGAATGGCATGGCAGTCGCTACTGCGGCTTTGGCTTCAGCTAAGGCTTTCCCTTGCAGCTCCCCCCATTCAAATTGGGCCTTTTTCCTTGTCACATTGTAAATTGGCCCCAATATCTGTGCCAAATGGGGAATATGCTGCCTCCAAAAACCCCACCAGCCATTGAGCCTCCTCTTTGGAGCGTGGAGCCTGCAAAGTGGCAATTACATTGAGGGTTTTCTCAGGAATATGCCGCATAGGTCCTGCCCAGATCACTCCTATGAACTGCACCTGTCGTGTTGGTCCCTGGATCTTTCCGGGA